GCAAATCAGAGAGTGGTGTTTATAACACAAATCAGAGAGCGTTGTTAATAACGGAATCAGAGAGCGGTGTTAATAACGGAATCAGAGAGCGGTGTTAATAACGGGAATCAGAGAGCAGTGTTAATAACGCAAATCAGAGAGCGGTGTTAATAACGGAATCAGAGAGAGGTGTTAATAACGCAAATCAGATAGCGGTGTTAATAACGGAATCAGAGAGCGTTGTTAATAACGGAATCAGAGAGCGGTGTTAATAACGGAATCAGAGAGCGGTGTTAATAACGGAATCAGAGAGCAGTGTTAATAACGGAATCTGAGAGCGGTGTTAATAACGCAAATCAGAGAGCGGTGTTAATAACGGGAATCAGAGAGCGGTGTTAATAACGCAAATCAGAGAGCGGTGTTAATAACGCAAATCAGAGAGCGGTGTTAATAACGCAAATCAGAGAGTGGTGTTTATAACACAAATCAGAGAGCGTTGTTAATAACGGAATCAGAGAGCGGTGTTAATAACGGAATCAGAGAGCGGTGTTAATAACGGGAATCAGAGAGCGGTGTTAATAACGCAAATCAGAGAGCGGTGTTAATAACGGAATCAGAGAGAGGTGTTAATAACGCAAATCAGATAGCGGTGTTAATAACGGAATCAGAGAGCGTTGTTAATAACGGAATCAGAGAGCGGTGTTAATAACGGAATCAGAGAGCGGTGTTAATGACGGAATCAGAGAGCAGTGTTAATAACGGAATCTGAGAGCGGTGTTAATAACGGAATCAGAGAGTGGTGTTAATAACGCAAATCAGAGAGCGGTGTTAATAACGGGAATCAGAGAGCGGTGTTAATAACGGAATCAGAGAGCGGTGTTAATAACGGGAATCAGAGAGCGGTGTTAATAACGGAATCAGAGAGCGGTGTTAATAACGCAAATCAGATAGCGGTGTTAATAACGCAAATCAGAGAGTGGTGTTAATAACGCAAATCTGATAGCAGTGTTAATACCGCAAATCAGAGAGCGGTGTTAATAACGCAAATCAAAGAGCGGTGTTAATAACGCAAATCAGAGAGCGGTGTTAATAACGCAAATCAGAGAGCGGTATTAATAACGCAAATCAAAGAGCGGTGTTAATAACGCAAATCACAGAGCGGTGTTCATAACGCGAATCACAGAGCGGTGTTAATAACGCAAATCAGAAAGCGGTGTTAATAACGCGACGACGTAGAAAGGGGAAGACGTAAATGTGGCTCTGACTGTGTTACAGCAATGGATGTTGTGAATCTGCGTGTTGTGAAACAATGAGTCTCAGTGACGGTCCCCGCGTGGGGCTGAGACGGGGTTGAGGGTTCACGCGGTCTCCCCGACTGTAGGGGTCGCTCCACTACACTCCACGCATTCCGCTCCCCCTCTCGCAACCCGCGTCTCTGATTGCGCGATGAGTGAGCCGCGCTCCCAGTGTATAGCGTCGCTTTGAATATCCCATCCTGGTACAGACTCCCCCCTCACCCAGGTCATCCGAGCTGTCGATTCCCCTCCACGCACTCTCACGTCTCTCCCCTCTCGTCTCACCTCTGCCCCCCTCTCCAATCGCTCTCTTACCTCTCCCCTCTCACTCAACCTCATCTCCCCTCTGGTCTCACTCAGCCTCTCTCCATGTACCCTGCTACGTCTCACCTCACTCTACGCCACTCTGTCTGGAACTCCCTCTCGCCCTCCCTCCCCAGCACACCGTGCTGCTGACTCCATGCCCCCCTGCTCACGTCAAGACTCGAGACCAAATGGGATGCCGCGGTGATGCAGTGGAACCCGGCCACCTGAACTCGAATCCTGGCCACGGCTAACATCAGTGGTGAGTGATATCAGCAGCGCAACACCCCTTAACTTATATCAGCATAAGTGACAGTGTGGGGGAGACATTCTCCAAACTAAACATTTTATTTTATTTTACCAGGAAAAGCTCACGAAGCTCTAAGGCTCACGAAGCTCTTTTTAATAAGCGACCTGGCCACAAGTGATGGGTCAACAGAGTGGCTTATCACGTGGAAATGTGTTGCAACCAAATACTCTAAACGCGTGCTTCTAAGTGTGGAGGGAAAAACCGGAGGACCCGGAAAATAATCCACGCGTCAGGGTCGGTACCGAACCCACGACCTCCTGCATACCAGGCCAGAGAGTGAACATCTCCTAGCCACCGTGGCGCCACGTTGATCCAGCAGTGGATCGATCATGGCTGATGATGAAGCTGACGGGCATGGGAGCGTGATGGGAACCTGGGGGGCAGTCGATCCTCCCACGGCTTGGGGGCGGGGTGGTGTCAATCTGAATGCTGCCCCCCTAATTAATATTTATATAGGACCCCCACGACTACTGGACCCCCGCAATGTGGCAATCGCTTCCAGTGCGGTATCGTAGCTCCCCACCACCAACGTCGCCACTCAGACCCACACGGCAATGGCCTTGGAGGTCTCGCGTGCCTGTGCGCGTGTGTGTGCGTCTATGTACGTGTGTGTGCGTGTGTACGTGTGTGTACGTGTGTGAGCGTGTGTGCACGTGTGTGTACGTGTGTGAGCGTGTGTGTAAGTGTGTGTACGTGTGTGTACGTGTGTGTGCGTGTGTGTACGTGTGTGAGCGTGTGTGTAAGTGTGTGTGCGTGTGTGTACGTGTGTGTACGTGTGTGTGCGTGTGTGAGCGTGTGTGTGTGTGTGCGTGTGTGTGTGTGCACATGTGTGTGCGTGTGTGTGCGTGTGTGAGCGTGTGTGTAAGTGTGTGTACGTGTGTGTGCGTGTGTGTACGTGTGTGTGCGTGTGTGAGCGTGTGTGTGCGTGTGTGTGCACGTGTGTGTGCGTGTGTGTGCGTGTGTGTGCATGTGTGAAAGTGTGTGTACGTGTGTGTGCGTGTGTGTACGTGTGTGTACGTGTGTGTGCGTGTGTGTGCGTGGGGAGCGGTAGAGCAACAGTTAGCGCGTGCCTGCACGTGTGTGTGAGTGTGCACGTGTGTGTATGCTTGTGTGTATTTGCGCGCGTGTGCCCGCATGTGTGTGCGTGCGCGTGTTTGTCTTTGTTGTGTGTGTGTGTCATGTGCGTGTGTGCGTTGGAGGGGAGCGGTAGGTAGTGCAACGGTGAGCGAACCCGGCAACCCGAGTCCCGCTTACAGCCAACATCAGTGACGATTATCTAAACCGGCCCTGGGCCTCCCCTAGGTCGACTCAGCCTCAGATGAGTACCCGGTGCGGTGTGTAAAAACATCGCCACTGGGGAGACAAAGGTGGTCGGGCGTGGTGCTGACCACCCACCCCCTCGTGTGCCGTGCCGGCGCTAGCAGCACTTGCCCCAATAGTCTGTTAAGGCTACACGGGGATCTTTGTCTTTGTGCGCGCGTGTCTCGTATAGCCGTTAAACGCTCTTATCTTAGCGTGCGACGTGATTGGGGCCTATTGAGTGAAACGTCGATCTATTTATGAAGACCAAACAATGGGATTAACCCTCGAACTCGTCTCGCGCGGTCTGACGCTCCTGCTGCACGCGAGGTGACCGTGCCAAGGAAGCTGAGGGGGCGGACGAACGGGGGGGGGGGGGGACATGACCAGCTGAAACGTTGTTGCGCAATCGTGGTGGTTATAAGGGGTGGTGGTCGTGGGGTGGTTACAGGGGTTGGTGGTCGTGGTAGGTTGATGTGGCGGTTGATGAGAATGGTATTGGGTGATGGTATGGGTGATGGTTTGAGTTTGTGATGGTGGTAGGGGGATCGTGGTCGTGGGTTGGCTGTAGTGGTGAGAGTAAGGGGGTGATGGTCGTGGCGGAGTTTGTGATCGGGGAAGTGGTGGTGATGCTGAGTTAGTGGAAGCATCGGGGATTGTGGTGGTGGTCAGTTGTTGAACACGTGTCTGTGTAGACACTAGTGTCTCTCTCCCCGCCTCTCTCCACCCTCTCAACCTCTCAGACAATATGTTTCTGTCCTTCCCCGCACCTCCAATTATCACGGTTGGCTACGTACGGTGCCTAAGAAGTCCAACATACATACGGACAACATCCCACCCTATATTGCGCTCTTTGGACAAATGCGTAAAAGTTCATGTGCGTGCTGTGCGCTCCGGCGGTTTGAGAGTGACAATGGGGGGGGGGGAGGGGGGGCGCCGAGGGAGAGAGGGATATGATCCGTGAGACCGCAAATTAACCCCCCTCCTCCATCCCCCCTCTCCTGTTCGCCCCACACCTCTAACAGGTCGCACGCCTTCTGCGGAGCAACGTCAACGCGGGCATGCGAGACAGAGAGGCGTAGACATCAAGAGGCGCATTCGCAGAGACGCACAGTGACATGCGCACACAGACACACACACACACACTAACCCAGACGCAACATACACCAACGATGTCGCGCACGTATAGCCGACGCACACTGTAATAAAACCAAACACTCACACACACAGAACTACACAAATACACACACTGGCGCATCAGCAACACAGACGAACACACACCAACAAAACAGACACGCATTTTTGACCCAAACACATTGACAAACACACACTTTGACCCACACACCGACACGCGCACACATATCAAACCGCAAACACACTCACGCATAGTCGCGCACACACACAGATATCCAACCACACAATAAGACACCCACGCTTTGACCCACACGGCCAACCAACTACACACGCACGGATAGCCACCCACACGCGCAGAGCCACACACACGCAGAGATCCACACACACACGCAGAGAGCCACAAACACGCAGAGATCCACACACACGTACAGCCACACACACGGAGAAAGCCACACACACGCAGAGAGCCACACACAAACACACACAGAGAGCCACACACACACAGAGAGCCACACACACGCAGAGATCCACACACACGCGCAGAGAGCCACAAACACGCAGAGATCCACACACACACGCAGAGAGCCACACACAAACACACAGAGAGCCACACACACACACACGCAGAGAGCCACACACACACACACGCAGAGAGCCACACACACACAGAGCCACACACACACAGAGAGAGCCACACACACACACGCAGAGAGCCACACACACAGAGAGAGCCACACACACGCAGAGATCCACACACACGCACGCCCAACCATGGCGTGCCATCTCGCGGAGGGCCCCGGCCAGTCGTGTCCGGCCCCCGAGCGTCTCCCCGCCGCGGCCTCGCCCCCCTCGTCCCTGGGGCTCTCCACGCTCTCCGTGGCCCTGCTGCTGCTGCTGCTGCTGCTGCTCCTGGCGCTGCGATTGTGGAGGGGATCCCGGCGCCTTCCCGAGGGGTTCCCGCCGGGACCCCGGGCGCTCCCCTTGGTCGGGAACCTCCTCTCGCTGGGGGAGCAGCCGCACGTGACGCTGACGGAGCTGGCGAGCCAGCACGGAGCGGTGAGTCGTGCCGGTGGGGAGTGGAGAGTCGGGTCGGACGACACACTGGTCAACGAAGCTGGAGTCGTCGTCATCGCCATCATCATCGCCATCATCATCATTATCATCACCATCATCACCATTAACAACAACCGCCATTCGCCACTAAGTGGCGGTGACGTCACCACAACCCTTGTGCCATGCTATGTGCACGTTGAGGCCACGTTAAATGTCGAACGCCCAGGTGCTACGGGTCGACTGACTGAGATGACTGAGATGACTGGCTGATGCACCACTTGTGCCCCCTACTGTGCCTACTTGCTGTGATTTTATCCACCCGGCGCTCCGCTCGTTGTTGTGAGCGTCGCTCCTCCCCCCTCCGTTGTTGTTGGAGGGCGACTGCCTCCAACTGCCCAGTTGCGTCCTTTACGAGCCTCCTCCACAGAGGCCGATCTTGACACCGCTGGTACCAGTCATCGGCAAGTCCACTCAGCTCCACGTCATCCTGTACCACATCATGCCATCTCTTCTCTAGCCCGTGCCGCGCCTGTTTAGCCCCCTCGATCCGGCCAAACAAAATCTGTTTCGGCATGCGGTGGCTGAGCATGCGGGCTTCATAACCCAGCCAACGCAGCCTTTCCTGCCGGAGGAGCTCACGGATGGGACTTTGTCCACATCTGTGAGCTCCTCACACAACCTAGCCTGTTTAAACCCAAGATGGATCGTAGGCAGACCAGCCTAAATGTTTCTAGCCGGCGAAGATGTTCCACTAGGGGGTCCACGTTTCGCAAGCGTAGAGAAGGGAGGGAATGACCGTGGCCGAGAAGACCTGAAGCTTCGTGCGGAGCGACAGACCAGGTAGCTTCCACAGCGTTACGCAACCGATGAAAAGGTATTGCCGCTCGACTGATTCGGAGTGAGACCTCTGCTGTCAAACCGGAGCCGGTCATGATCACACTGCCCAGGTATGGGAAACTCTCCACTCTCTCCACAACTGCCCCATCACCGATTGGGAGTTGTGGACGTGGAGTGCCCGATGGTACAAAATACCCAGGCAAGTCCTTAGTTTTGGTGGGGCTGATGGTAAGGCCCCACCTCTAAGTGGCAAGCCCCAGGTTCAGGAGCAGCGCCTCCAACTCGTCCTCTGAGTGCGCAGCAATTACCATATCATCGGCATACGTAACATAGTTGAGCAATAGGGAGCCATCCCTTGATCGCACCCGGGCATCAAATCAGCCTCCCATTGTATCTGTACCAGATGGAAATTCCTCCGGTACAGCTATGGAAGGCTTCACGAACTACGTGGTCGAAATATATGTTAAATAATGTGGGAGCCAGAGGACATCCCTGTCGCACCCCAAGGTGTACAGGGAATGGCTCTGACTCCTGGCCACGTAGTTTTACCCGGGCCCACTCACCATCATGAGGGTCAGGGACTCCGAAAGCACGAAGAAAAACCCAGAGCTCAGGCCTACTGATGTTATCATCGTCCTTGTCCAAGTCAGTAAAGCAGAGATGTAGGTCTTGTTGGAATTCACTGCACCTCTGCTGTAGCAGACGGACAGAAACTATGGCATATGTACAGGACCGCCTTTTCCTGAAACCGCATTTGGGCTCCGCAAGCCTCTCGTCAGCATGCCTAGCAAGGCGATGTTGAATAATCATTGAGGAGCGAGATGCCCCTGTAGTTGTTACAGTCTGTGCGGTCCCCCTTCTTAAAGAGGGGGACCACCAGGGAATCCTTCCAATCCTGCAGAATCCATCCAGTGTTCCAGACTGTTGTTATGATGTCATGTAGGGCAGTATGTGCACAAACGCCACCCTCCCCCAGCATTTTGCTTGGGAGATCATTTCTGCCCGGTGCGTTTCCTGGTCTCAGGCTCTGGATCGACTTCAGTACTTCCTCAACAGATGGCACCTCAGCCAGCCACTCACAGGGGGTGACGACTTCTTCCAATATTTGAGGCACCGCAGCCTCATCCCCACTTTGTCCCACGATTTTTTTCCTTGTCGTGGGATTTTCCCTCCCCCATGCCCTCACAGAAACGCTCAGCAAATCTGCAAACCTGTTCCTGGGGGTCGGAGATTGGATCATCGTTTTTTACCCTAGTGATGGTAATAGATATGGCGCTGCAGGTTACTTTTTGATGGATTTAAAGAGCGATTTGTGATCGCGGGCCACTGAGGCAGACTCCATCTCCTCAGAAACCCGCGACCACCACCCATCCTTGCAGCGCCTCACGGCTCTCCGAACCTCCGAGCGAAAGCTGCGGTAAGCCTCCATCATTCTTCGACGTGGGATTCTGTAGCCGATGACAGTGGGCCTGTCGCTTTTTCTCAACCATCCTGAACACCTCCGCTGTCAGCCAGAGTCTCTGGGGAGGTCTGGACCGTGTGCCCAAAGCAGCCATTGCAGCAGAATGAGCCACAGACCTTAACCTCGCCCATTTCCTCTCGACATCAGGATGAGTGGGGGACGATGCCAACCCCAGCCGCAAGCGATGATTAAATTCTCGCTTTCAACGTTCATCAGCTAGCTGAGACCATGCCACTATGGGTTTGAATGTGGTCCTGGGTCTACACCCACCACCGGAGTGGAAGAATAGCAGGCGCATCTTACAGATGACAAGTCGATGGTCAGTGGGCAGATCAGCACCACGGTATGTCCTGGTGTCAAGGACATGGGCCCGCATCCACTGTTCCGTCACTATGTAGTCCAGCAGATGTTCTTGCATATCACCATCATCACCATAATCACCATCGTCATCACCATCGTCATCATCATCTTCATCACCACCATCATCATCACCATCATCGCCATCATCCTCACCATCATCACCTCCATCATCATCACCATTATCGCCATCGTCCTCACCGTCATCACCACCATCACGATCACCACCATTATCACCATCACCACCATTATCACCGTCACCACCATTATAACCGTCACCATCATCTGACGAGATGAACAGCCACAACGAAGATCGCAGACTTCTCTAAGCGCCGCGAACAGAAGAACCCCGCTCCTCTCTCCCCTTGGCGAGTGAAGAGGGCGCGTGGTTGTGGGACTCGCAGGGAGGGCGGGAGGAAGTTGCGTTCATTTTTTTTTCATATTAAAATCAGAGGCGCCACCGCTTGTGTTTGTTAGTGCGCAAAGTAGCAACGGGAAACCGCGACGCTGCCGGAATCTCGTGGAGAGACGGGGAAGGGGAACCACGTGGACTGGAGAACGATGTCATTCTGAACGTCGTCAGGACAACGTCGTCAAGAACGGTGACGGAGGTGGCAGCCAAAGAACGGAACGCGTCCGAGAGGACGTGACCCGAGGAGATGGTGCCGTGATAATTATGATGATGATGATAAAATCAGCAGCTGCAATAATGCTCCAGGTGCGAGGGATGGATCGTGACATCGCAGGATCGTAAGAGGTGGCGGTCGCTACGTTGAGTCCTTCATCCAACAGTGGATTGACCATGGCTGGTGATGAGGAGGGGGGGGGGGGGTGAGATTTGTATGCGCCCGTCGCGCGTGGCCAAGAGCCACAGCCGCTCAGTGCTGACGTCATAAAGACTGCGTTGTTGTGAGTCATTATTTAATTATTTAGATTATTACTTTGTTCTTTTATTGTGGAGGAAGGGGGTGGGAGTCTGTTTCTGACGATGGGCATGGTCACCGCGACCTATCGGAAGTGAGGGAGGGGGGGGTATGGCGGAGGGGTGGGGGAGGGGCGGACCGGGTGATGTGAGGTTAGGAGACCCGAAACATTTGGGGGGAGGCGAGGGGACGATGTTGATTATGTAGAGTGGGGTGGTGGTGATGATGATTATGCACGTGGTTATATAGACGACGATACCGGTGTGAATGGAAAAGGGTCGTGAAGATGATGATGACCACGATGGAGATAACACGGCGCACAAATCCAGTCTAGTGGCAGAACACGGAGACAGACGGACGCACGCGCACGCACGCGCACAGACAACAGCCGCCGTTCGCCACTAAGTACCAGTGACGTCACCACGGCGCTTGTGCCAGGCTAGGTGGACTTTGAAGCCACGTGAAGTTTCGAAGGCCCGCTAGCAGGAGGTCACGGGACAGAACCAGGTGCCATGGGTTGACTAAGATGACTGGCAGATGCACCACCTGTGCGACTCCCTCCAACTCCCCAGCAGCGTCCTTCACGAACCTCCTCCACAGTGGTCGATCTCGACACTGCTGGTACCACTCATCGGCAAGTCCAATCAGATCCACATCCTTCTGTACCACATCAGCCCATCTCTTCTCTAGCCCGCACCGCGCCGGTTTAGCCCATCTAGCCGGTCAAACAGGAGCTACTGGGCATGCGGTTGCTGGGCATGCGGGCTCCATGTCCCAGCCAACTCAGCCTCGCTTGTGTGGAGGAGCTCACTGATAGGACTGTGCCCACATCTTTCAAGGATCTGTGTTGCTCCTCGCACAATCCAGTCTGGTTGAACCCAGGATGGCTCAGGCTAGCCTCAATGTTTCAAACCGGCGCAGACATCTCGCTAGCGTAGAGGGAATAACCGTGGCCAAGAAAAACCAAAGCTTTGTATGGAGCGACAGGCCAGGTAGCTTCCACACAGCGGTGCGCAGCTGATGAAAAGATAATGCCACTCGACTTATTCGGAGTGTGACCTCGGCTGCCAAACCGGAGCTGGTTATATGCACACTGCTCAAGTACAGAAACGGCTCCACTCTCGCCACAGCTCCCTCATCACTCGTGGGGAAGTTGAGGGAGGCGAGCATTTGATTGCACAAAACACCCAGGCAGGTGCTTTGTTTTGGTGGGACTGATGGTAAGGCTCCAACAGTTACATGCTCCAGGTTCAGCAGTAGCGTCTCCAACTGCCTTCTTAGAGTGGGCAGCATTCGCCAGATCATCCGCACACATCATGTGGTTGACCAAAAGGGAGCCATCCCTTGACCGCACCCAGGCATCGATCAGCCTCCCATTGTATCGATGCCAGATGGAAATTCCGCGAGTATATCCATGTAAATCGTCTCAAACTAGGCGGTCAAAGAAGACGTTAAATAGCGTAGGGGCCAGAGGACATCCCTATCGCACGCCACTGTTAACGGAACATGGCTCCGACGCCCAGCCAGGCAACTTTACCCGGGCCTACCCACCATCATGAAAGTCCTTGACGAGCACAGAGGCGCACACACAAAGCTACACACACAGACACTTAACCCAGTGAATGCTGTAATGTTTCATAACTCGTGACTTGACCCAGACGGACGAGGAATGTACGCAATGCCCACACTGTGATGAGCGTGTGTGTGTGCTCGAGTGTGTTTCTGTCTGTTTGGCTGTCTGTTTTTGCTTTCGTCCCTGTGTGCGCATGTTCGTGTGTCTTTGTTCGATGCCCGCTCACGACCAACATCAGTGACGCTTATCTGAACCGGTCATGGGCCTCCCCTAGGGCAACTCAGTCTTGAACGAGTACCTGGCGCGGCGTGCCGGCACGTACCGATATTCACAGTCGCTACTCGCAGTAAACATTCCCCAAACAGTCGACCATTCTGTCTGCGGCAGTCAACCTCGTTAACCATTAACCCTTGCGCCTGTCCCGGTGACCTGCCAGTAAACCCTCAGCAGTTAACACGATGGCTTCAAAGTACACCTAGCCTGGCACAAGCTCTGTGATGACGTCAGTGAATACCAGTTGTTGTCGTTTAGCTGTGTAATAGTCTGTGTTGGACTATGGGGAGCTGTAGCGTAGTGGTTAGCGTACTGCACTACGAAACTGGCGTTGGATTCCCCGGCCAGGGTTATCGGAGCCAGTCCTGAACCGAGCCTTAAAAGCGACCCAGCCTTAAATGAATCCCTGGTGCCTGTGTGTAAGTATGAACACTGGGGAGACAAGGGCGGCTGGGCGTGGTGTTGCCCACTCACCCCCTGTGCCGTTCCGGCCTTTATAGGTGCTCGCTAACACAGCGTTGGTGTACGGCGCTTTTTTCAGGAATATTTTGCTGTTTTTTCAGTTTGAACAGTCACATAGTCACTTTAAGATGTTTTTCTTGTTCGTGTTTTTGTTTTTTGTTGTGGTTGCACCCGATTCAAGAGCCGAATGGCTCACAGGGCTATACCAAAATAAATAAACTGAAACTGAAGGACTTTCCCCAAAAGCCTGCCAAGCTTATACGGGGGATCTTTGTCTTTGTGTCCGACCGATCACCGTGCCAGCTACACGAAGCGAGAATGCAGTTACCCCATCATGCTTCAGGTGCAATGGTATGAAGATGGTTAATCGCACTCTCTGACCCATATACAAATACACACATAGACAGACTCTAAAAATTCCCAAATACACAAAGATACCTTACCAGATTGAGGAGCAAGTGCTGTTAGCGAACACCTATGAAGGCTGAAATGACATAACAGGGTGGTGTGTGGGTGGCCAGCACCAAGCCCGGTCGCCTTTGTCTCCTGAGTGGCGATGTTTACATAGGTACTTATTTGAGTCTGAGTCGACCTAGGGGAGGCCCAGGACCGGTGCAGATAAACGTCACTGATGATTTGAGATGCACGAACCCACTCGTCACACACGCCAATACACACGATACACAACACGCAACTCACACACTCGTACACCCCACACACAACCTCGCAGGCAGCCTCACTCGCACACAGCAACAACAACCGCCATTCGCCACTAAGTGACGGTGACGTCACCACGACGCTTGTGCCAGGCCATGTGCACCTTGAGGCCACGTGAAGTGTCGAACGCCCGCTGGCAGGAGGTCACGGGGCAGACCCAAGTGCCACGGGTCGACTGACTAAGATGACTGGCTGATGCACCACCTTGCCCCCTACTGTGCCAACCTGCTGTGCGTTAGCCACCCGGCGCTCCGCTCGTTGTTGTGAGCGTCGCTCCTCCGCCCTCCGTTGTTGTTGGAGGGCGACTACCTCCAACTGCCCAGGAGCGTCCTTCACGATCCTCCTCCACAGAGGCCGATCCTGACATCGCTGGTACCAGTCATCGGCAAGTCCACTCAGCTCCACGTCCTCCTGTACCACATCACTCCATCTCTTCTCTAGCCCGTGCCGCGCCCGTTTAGCCTCCTCGATCCGGCCGAACAAAAGCTGTTTCGGCATGCAGTGGCTGGGCATGCGGGCTACATGACCCAGCCAACGCAGTCTTGCCTGCCGGAGGAGCTCACCGATGATGGGGGCTGTGTGTCCAAATGATGCCGTAAATGGATGTGCGAGTTCCTAACGCAGCCCAAAAAACCCACGGTGGATCGTGGGCGGGCTGTTGGTGATCCCCTTCCCGTGGGGCTCCTCGCTCATCCTGCACCCCCTCTTGCCCCCCCCCCACTCCCCGGGGCAGGTGTACTCGGTGTGGCTGGCCACAATCCCCGCCGTGGTGGTGTGCGGCTACGAGGCCGTGCGTGAGTGCCTGCAGCTGCGCGCCACCGACTTCGCCGATCGCCCGTGCCTCCCGCTCTTCCAGCGCCTCACGGGCATGCGCGGTGGGTCACCTGGGTGGGTCACCGGGGTGGGTCACCGGGGTGGGTCACTGGGGTGGGTCACCGGGGTGGGTCACCGGGGTGAGTCACCGGGGTGGGTCACCGGGGTGGGTCACCGGGGTGAGTCACCGGGGTGAGTCATCGGGGTGGGTCACCGGGGTGGGTCACCGGGGTGGGTCACTGGGGTGAGTCACCGGGATGGGTCACCGGGGTGAGTCACCGGGATGGGTCACCGGGGTGAGTCACCGGGGTGGGTACCAGGGTGGGGCACCGGTGTGAGTCACTGGGGTGGGTCACCGGGGTGGGTCACTGGGGTGGGTCACTGGGGTGGGTCACCAGGATGGGTCACCGGCGTGGGTCACTGGGGTGGGTCACCGGGGTGAGTCACCGGGGTGGGTACCAGGGTGAGTCACCATGGTGGGTCACCGGGGTGAGTCACCATGGTGGGTCATCGGGGTGGGTCATCCGGGCGGATCACCGGGTCACAGCAATCATCGTGTCCCTCCAACTGCGCAAAAATAACTTGGCAGGACCCTCCTGGAAATTAGTCTTGAGGACTCGGCCAGGTTTTCCTGGGAAATTAAACGGAAAAGTGAAATCGTGTTCTTGGCCACGCAGATGAATGGGCACCACACGAAGGCGATGCCACCGCAGGTGCCACCGTTGGTTAATGTATCTGTTCTCCCGCTTACGAATGCAAACCCAGGCCTCCTGAACGCGCGATTCGGCCCGGGCTGGGCCGAGCAGAGGCGCCTGGCCGTGTGGAGCGTCCACGCGTTTGGCACGGCGAAGCCCGACTTCGAGAGTCTTCTCCAGGAAGAATGCGCCCACCTGCTGGAGGCTATGGACAAAGCCTTTGAGGCAGCCGACACAGAATCATCATCGTCGTCGTCATCGCATTCATCATCAGCAGCAGCAGCAGCAGCATCCAGATCACCAACAGCAAACGCATCATCATCATGTGATCAATCATCATCAGTAACAGCATGTGCTTCATTAACACCATCAAAATCCCGAAAATCATCCGATGCTTCACCACCACAATCATCATCATCAGCAGCAGCATCCCCTTCATCTTCACCACCGCCGCCGAAGCGAGACCCAAGCGCGGCCGCCGCCGGTGGCATCGATCCGGGCCCTCTCATCACGAGCGCGGTGTCGAACGTCACCAACCTGGTGATCTTCGGCGAGCGCTTCGAGTACGGCGACACGGAGTTCGAGGGCATGGTGCAGATGTTCAGCGAGAACGTGGCGCTGGCGGCGAGCGCTTGGTCCTTCCTCTACAGCGCCTTCCCGCGCCTCGTGGGGGCCCTGCCCTTCGGCTCGCACCGCCGCCTCTTCGCCAACGCGGAGCGCGTGCGCGAGTGCCTGGTGAGCCTCACGGGGAAGTTCTCGCGCGGCCGCGTGCCCGGCGAGCCGAGGCACATGGTGGACGCCTACCTCGACCAGGTGGACGCGGCCGAGGAGGCGGCGGCGTTGCAGGCGTCGTCGTCATCAAGAACAATGGCATCAGGATCGCCAGAAACTCCATCATCATCATCATCATCAATGTCATCGTCTAGGTTATCACCGCCACCACCATCATCACCTACTTCACTACAACCACCATCATCATCCCCACCATCATCACCACCATCATCATCACCTACATCCTCAACACCACCATCATCGTTCACACGAGACAACATGATCTTCACGATCGGCGAGCTCTTCATCGCTGGAACCGAGACGAGCAGCAACACTCTGCGCTGGGCCATCCTCTACATGTGCCTCTACCCGGAGCTGCAAGGTGAGCGGGAGCGGTGAAGGGGTGGGGGAGGGGTGAAGGGGAGGGAGCGAGGGGGCCGTGATGCAAACAGCAGCAGTCTGATTTGAGTCTCAAGCGCGTCGGCGGCTAACGACAGTGGCGAGTGGTATCGGAACTGACCAGCGTGGTGAGGTTTTGGCAAAATAACTGCCGTGATTGACATGGCGTGGGGGGAGACCTTGATCCAGCAGTGGATTGAACATTGGATGTAAACCCATTCGTTAACTGTATATTTTTTAATTGAATGACCGATTAAATCTATGTGTTCCGCTCACGATTCACGAATCGAATCGTGCGTCCAGGTATAGCTCTGGCGGTTGCCTCTGGGCTGATGAAGCGAACACCACGATACCAACGATACCACGATACCAACGATACCAACGATACCACGATACTAACGAGAGAGACGTCCATGACGCGTCATAATTACCCAGGAGTTGAACGCGTCCGTGAAGATATCCGCCCCCTTCCTAAATCACCCCCCCCCCAAAAAAAATCTGTCCACCCCCACTTCATTCCCCCATCACCCCACATGATCTCTCCCCTCAACCCGCCTTCTCTCAAATCACACGACATCCCCATCCCGTCCACCCCGTCCCTAAACCACTCTACTCTACCCCAACCCCGGTCCTCCATGCCTCCCCCCTCGGCGCCCCTCCCAATCATCCCATCTTCCTCTCCCAACGTTGATGATGACTCCTACAGTTTAGCAGTAATCAGGCTAACAAATACAAGCGGTGGTGCTTCTGAATATTCTGAATTTATTTTAAAATAAAAGGTCAAAAAGAAATGAGTGCACCCCCCCCCTCCCTTCTTCCCCCACCTCCACTCCCCCAACATTCCCCTGGCACATCATCCGCTCCCGATCATCACCTCCTCCTCCCTCCCTTCTCCTCTCCATCCCTCCCCTCCCCAGACGATCTGCACGCGGAGCTGACGCGAGCGCTGCGCGGCGAGTGTCGCGCGCTCCGCCTGTCGGACCGCGCGCGCACCCCGCTGCTCGAGGCCACGCTGCACGAGGTGTTGCGTCACGCCACCATCGCGCCCCTCGGCATCTTCCGCGCGGCGACCCGCGACGTCTCCTTCCGCGGCTTCGCGGTGCCCCGGGGCACCGTGGTGGTGGCGAACCTCCACTCGGCGCACCGCGATCCGGGCGCCTGGACCCGCGCACACGAGTTCCTGCCGCGACGCTTCCTCGACGCCGACGGCAGATTCGTGCGTCGCAAGGCGTTCGTGGCCTTCTCCATCGGTGGGCGGAGAGGGGAGAGGGGAGAGGGGTGGGGGACTGCTCCATAGGGGAGGGGAGGGGCGGCTGTGTGCGGTGACTCTTCACTCCTCGCTCTTGCTGCACCTCTCTGCATTCCCCAGCCTCTCCCTCTCTCCTCCCGTCTCCTGTAACATCACCCCCTCATCGCTTCCTCACCCCCTACCCCTCTCCTCTCTGTTCACCTCATCGCTCACCTCCCACTCTCCTGTCATCGCCCCCCATCCCGTACCCCCATCCACCCGCCCCTTCCTCTCAACTTCCCGTTACCTTCCCCTTACCTCCACCCGTCCCTCCACCCGTCCCCCCTTTCCCCCGACCGCACTCGCCCTTCCATCCCCCCTCTCCTCTTCTCCGCCTTCCACTCGCCCAGTCTCCCTCTTCACTCTTCTTCCGCTCCCCGTTCCATTTTACTCACCGTGCATCTCTCGTCTCACGTCATCTTCTTCCCTCTTCACCCCCCCCCTCTCCATCCCTCTCAAAACCCTCCTCCGTCTCTCCAACCTCCCCCTCCTCCCGCCCCGTCACCCCCAGGCCGCCGTCACTGCGTGGGAGAGAAGCTGGCGCTCATGGAACTCTTCCTGTTCCTCGCCTCCATGCTGCACAGGTTCCGCTTCAGCCTGGCCGGAGGTGGCGCGCCCGACCTGCGGCCCCGCCTCGGCTTCACCCTCCAGCCGCGACCCTACCGCGTGAACGCCACGCGGCGGTAGCGCGGGTGGCGCGGGTGGCCGCGTTCGGGGTGGCGTGGAGCGGGCGTGGGGTGGGACAGCTACCATCACCCAAAGGGCATCCGCGGCGGAGACTCGGGGGAACCTTCGCGTTCGTAAGGTGGCCAACCGCCAAGGATGGAACGGTCACCCGGTGTGAAATGGGGAACATCTCTTGGGTGGCCACCGGAGGAGGCTCGAGTGAAGGTGTGAGGTGCTAGTCACAGGGTGGCAACCGCAAAGGACTGAACTCTTGCCCGAGTGAGGATGACTGGAGACTCGAGAGAGAGAGAGAACGCCACCCTTTCTGCGGCTGTCACCGAAGACTCCGAGATGTGGTGGCAACCAGGGAGACGGAACGGTCATCTGTAAGATGGAAACTGCCTCCTGGGTGGCCACTGTAGAATAGAGAGAGAGACGAGAGGGGTTACATGAATACGGTGGCCACCCGGGTGGCAACCAGGAATATGGAACTCTCTTTCCTAGAGGTGCATTGGGGTTCCACTGAAAACAGAACGACAATTTATACAACTGAACTCTGGTCGCCGGGGGCATAACGCAGACCGCTAACCGCTGCGCCGCCGCTCCCCTGCCACATTTAAGAAAGCACACCGGGTGCGCTTTAACTAAACGCACGCGTTGGGCTTGTTCCGCGTGAACTCGGCGTGCATCCGACAAGCAGATCGCTCGTTCATGGAATTTGCCAAACATCCCCATGTAGCAGGGCCCTCCAGAAAAGTCTCTCGAGACCCGGCAAGTGTCCATCACGGGACGGCTGCTTCGTTGATGCCATCGGCACGGAACCGACTTAGTTCCTCACCTGAGACGGGATGGCGCTCTTCCCCTGCAGTCAATTCGTGTCCATTGCAGCGCGCGTCTTGATTGACCAATGGGCACGTCAGTCGACAGAGGCCACGTCTCGGATACTTTTATTGAACCCCACGCTCGGCACATCCTCTCCCTCGTCAGCCCACTCCTTTATTTACAAGCCGCGACGCGCCGTGCCGCACCCTAAGGCAGGGGTTCTCACACTGCTGTCATTCGGCAATTACTGCACACCCCCCTCCCCCAATTGGGGCACCATATATCCACTGCTGGATGGAGGACTCCGCAAACCATCATGCGCCATCACGAGCGGTGCTGCAACACCACAATACATCCGCGCCTCCCTCATCGCTCCATCTCCTCCGCGGTGGTGACGGCCATCCTCGCGGGCGCGTTCCCTCCTTTGGCTGCCATTCCATCACAAATCTCGTCCATCATCCCTTCTAAGTCGCGCTGTCCCCTGAACCAATCTCGCTGAACTTTCCTAACAGTCGCTATTACGTCCGGTCGGCATAAATTATATAGATATAATGACTGTGTTCATGTCTCTCTCGCTCTCCCTGCCGCTCGGTGTAAATCGCCTCCCAACTTTCGTTCGCGTGGTTCACGCCTCCACGACGCTCCGACTGGCACCGTTCTGACTGGCGCCGTTCCGACTGGCGCCGTTCCGACCGGCGCCGTTCTGACCGGCACCGTTCTGACCGGCGCCGTTCTGACCGGCGCCGTTCTGACTGGCGCCGTTCTAACCGGTACCGTTCTGACTGGCACCGTTCTGACTGGCGCCGTTCTGACTGGCACCGTTCTGACTGGCGCCGTTCTAACCGGTACCGTTCTGACTGGCGCCGTTCTGACTGGCGCCGTTCTGACTGGCACCGTTCTGACTGGCGCCGTTCTGACTGGCACCGTACTGACTGGCACCGTACTGACCGGCACCGTTCTCCAGGCGCCGTTCCGACTGGCGCCGTTCCGAATGGCGCCGTTCCGACTGGCGCCGTTCCGACTGGCGCCGTTCCGACTGGCGCCGTTCCGACTGGCACCGTTCCGACTGGCACCGTTCCGACTGGCGCCGTTCTGACTGGCACCGTTCTCCAGGCGCCGTCGGTGCCCTACCAGCGGCACGGCGGCTCAATGTAGGAGCCGGACAGTGCGGGTGGTGGTGGTGATGGCGATACACGCGGCTCAATGTAGGTGGTGGTGGTGGTGATACACGCGGCTCAATGTAATCGCGCACCAGGGAGGCAGCAGCGAGGATTGGTGGATCCCCTGTCCCACTGGGTGGGCGTCGAGGAGGAGCCGTGCCCTGGCTCTGCCAGGAGGAAAACAGGACAGCAAGAGTGCGCCGTCTGTTTCCATCTGTACGGGGAGAGTATTTCCCCCTCGCACGCAAGGCGTGGGGTTTCTCCGGGTTCTCCGGCTTCCTCCTCCCCACGTGAATAATAATAATACTAAACGCGACTCGTCATCCACTGGCTTGTTACAAATAAACACCCGCAGAGTACTGCGACTCCCCGGGGCATGCGACTCCTTGCTGTGTGGCCGCGCGCGTGTCCCGAGTCTCGCTGCCTGACGATGGCGCTACGCGGGGCCACCACACTCGCTGTGGCGCCTCGATCGGGCCCGGCAGACCACTTCGATCCACATCAATTATGGGGGGTGGAGGTCCTATGCCGCCCCCCCCCCCCCCCAGTGTAACCTAAGAGGCACTGTTACAATCGCTATCATTATTACAATCAGAGCACAATCGTCAATGTTGTTGTTACACACGTTTTGTGTTTAGATAAATCTGTTATAAAAGCTTAAAAAACGGACACATTTTCATCATCATCGTCGCCGTCGTCTTGACATCAGCATCACTGTCATTGTTTTTTCGTCATTAACATCGTTCTTACAACCTGACGCTAAAAAACATCCTGGGTTGTAAATTTGGCACGGTGCTGGTGGTACGGGTTCCCCGATTTGATAACCCCCCCCCACTCCCCCCACCATCACTGCTCTCAACAGCACGTGGAACACACACACACACAGTTCTCTCTCAGTTCTCATCAGCGCTGTCACGCGTTTATCAATCATCAGGCGCGTGAAAGCGTGTAACGATTTAAAATATACATTAAAAAAATAATTATCGTTTTATTTCACAGACAAGATTGGGTAAATGTTGGAGCGTCGCTCGCACACATGTGGAAGCGTTCTACACAATGGATCACTGGTTCCTCGTTTTTCACTGCACAACCGAGCCGTGCCGGGGCCGTGCCAGTATTGTTTTTCCCACTCTGTAGAAGCCGAGCCGTGTCCCTGACGTCACACGCAATGCGCACGTTATCAGCCCCACCCGTGCCATGCTGGCCCCGTGCTGGCTCGGCTCGGATGTACAAGTGGAAACGGGGTATTGTTGCTGGAAACAATGTGCAACCGCTTGCCAGCACGCGCGCCAGTGTGAATTTCGTGAGCTCCTTTTTATTTAGCCACGTTCACGGTCAACGATGACCGCTGTAGTGGTCTGTGGCCACATCGAGTCAAGTCTGTGGCCTCCCATGTGATCATTCTCTTAGCCTAGTCCACTGTAAGGGGCACCTCCCAATTATGATCAGTTCAGGCAATCAATGAACTCGGTAAATCTTCAACACGTTTGTAGCCAATGACCGTGTGCAATGCCATCTCTCATGCCACTATGAGATCATCTCGGTCCACGTGTTCATTCAGACTCTGTAGCCTCGTCTCGTCACAGGCAGGCGCGCTCACTCTGTGGAGATGGTGGCGGTGATGGTGGCGGTGATGCTGGTGGTAGTAGTGGTGGTTGTGCTGGTAAGTGATGGTGGTGGTAGTGGTGATGATGGTAATGATGGTGAAAATGATGGTATGGTAGTGGTGGTGATGTTGATGGTTATGATGATGGTCGTGATAGTGGTGGTGATGGTGGCGACGTTGAGTGGGCAGCAGTCGCAGTCCTCGTCACGCGAGTCGACGATCTTCGTTCACTCGTGGCCCTGGCGGCGGGCACTCGAGAGCAACCCGACACCCCGCGACCCATCAACGTGCAAGCGGCCACACGCCGCTGCCGCCTCCGTCCCTTCAATGTCCAGCAACGTCCACGCGGCCGCACGCGACAACGTCCAGCGACGTCCGTGATAAAAAATAAAGTAATAGAGAATTCAAACGGAGCTCTCTCGCACACTCGGAGCGCCGTCCTCTTGATGCGTTGCTGCTCGCTTCACCGCTTTGCTTGCTTTTCCTTTCGACATTTTTATTAAAAATAGATCTCTGTGTGTGTGTGTATTTTTTTGTAATTAGTAAGTTATTTTTAATAATGTTATTATTAATAATATCTAGAAAAAATAGTAATCAAAGAAAAACGATGGTGGTAATCATAGTAATATCAAACGGTATTGCTATTATCGGAGGCGGTATTTATAGGAGGAAGTCATCTTCGTCTTTTGAAGTCATCAGCAGTGCCCGGACGCTGCTCCCACTGCCGACGCTGCTCCTCAAGGCTTGGGCTGCTCCGGGTCGAGGTCAAGGTTGGGGTCACGGTCAGCGATGAGGTCAAGGGGGGGGGGGGAACGGGATAGGGAAGAAAGAAAAACGTGAGCGGGTGAGCACCGAGGGAGGTCGCTCGTTCTGCTCTGCTGCTCCCATTGCCTCGAACTTCCTCTCTCCCAGACATCCCGTGCTGTCGGCTCATTTTGGCCGGGAATCCAACTTGGGTTGAGCTGGGTTTGTAAGGAACAGTGTCGCAAATCATTATACTGCCGCTCTCCACTAACTCGGCGAGTTCCGGGTTTTTTTTGTTTTTAACGAGGTGAGAAATCGAGAGACCAGCACAGTCTCAAAGGCAAGTGACCTCAAATACAGACAAATATTCCCCATATGGCCTTTAACAGACTGTTGGGGCAAGTGCTGTTAGAGAGCACCTTTGAAGGCCCCAACGGCACGTAAGAGGATGAGTGGGAAGCACCAATCCCAGCCGCCTTTGTCTCCCCAATGGTGATGCACCAGGTGCTCATTTGAGGCTGAGTCAACTTAGGGGAGGCCCAGGAACCGGTTTGGTTAATTAGTCACTACTTTTGACCGCAAGCGGAAACCGAACCGGGGTTGCACGTCGCCAACCACTGCACCACCACCCCTGCATGCACACACGCACACAGGCACACACAGACACACACAGGCACACACAGACACACACAGGCACACACAGACACACACACAGACACACACACAGACACACACAGACACACACACAGACACACAGACACACACAGACACACACAAACACGCACAGACACACACACAGACACACACACAGACACACACAGACACACACACAGACACACAGACACACACAGACACACACAAACACGCACAGACACGCACGCAGCCCGGCCCCTTACTGGAAGACACGCGTGTGTGTGTGTGTGCGTGTGCGCGCATTCGGCGCGTCACACGAACACGTCGCTCGTCTCTTCGCTGAGCGAGGCGCACCGCTTCTTGGCTGCCGTTTCCCCGCGGCGATCGCCGGATCGGCAAAGCCAACACGTCGGGCGGGGGGGGGCGGGGGGGGGGGCAGCGTGGGGGGCACACGCGGGAGGGTTGGCGTACGAGACGGGGGGAGAGAGCACAGGAGATGGGGCGAGAGAGAGAGATGGACAGAGAGCACAGGTAGCAGCTGGTTAGCTGGGCATGCATTAAAAGCGCAAACACAAATGTTCCGCAAACATGAGGTTGTCATGTTTGGCTTTGCGGGGTCAAGAGTGAAGGTAGGCATGCTCACACCATCGTTTCAGCGGAAGTTGTCCGGGACTGAGCGTGTGTAGGCATGTGTTCGTGTGTGTGTGTGTATGTCGGTGTATGCGTGTGTGTGTGTGCGTGCCTGTGTATGTGTGCGTGCCTGTGTATGTGTGCGTGCCTGTGTGTGTGTGCGTGCCTGTGTGTGTGTGCGTGCCTGTGTGTGTGTGCGTGCGTTTGTGTGTGTGCGTGCGTGTGTATGTGTGCGTGCCTATGTGTGTGTGCGTGCCTGTGTGTGTGTGCGTGCCTGTGTGTGTGTGCGTGCGTTTGTGTGTGTGCGTGCGTGTGTATGTGTGCGTGCCTGTGTGTGTGTGCGTGCCTGTGTGTGTGTGCGTGCCTGTGTGTGTGTGCGTGCCTGTGTGTGTGTGCGTGCCTGTGTATGTGTGCGTGCCTATGTGTGTGTGCGTGCCTGTGTGTGTGTGCGTGCCTGTGTGTGTGTGCGTGCGTTTGTGTGTGTGCGTGCGTTTGTGTGTGTGCGTGCGTGTGTATGTGTGCGTGCCTGTGTGTGTGTGCGTGCCTGTGTGTGTGTGCGTGCCTGTGTGTGTGTGCGTGCGTGTGTGTGTGTGCGTGCGTGTGTATGTGTGCGTGCCTGTGTGTGTGTGCGTGCCTGTGTGTGTGTGCGTGCGTGTGTGTGTGTGCGTGCGTATGTGTGCGTGCCTGTGTGTGTGTGCGTGCCTGTGTGTGTGTGCGTGCGTGTGTGTGTGTGCGTGTGTATGTGTGCGTGCATGTGTATGTGTGCGTGCCTGTGTGTGTGTGCGTGCCTGTGTGTGTGTGCGTGCTTGTGTGCGTGCGTGTGTGCGTGCGTGTGCGTACCGGCCACGGCCTTGCTGCGACGTGACGCCTCGCTCGCGAGTGCGTGTGACATGCTGATGATCCGCTCCTGGTCCTCGCTCACACCGGGGCCCTCCGCTTCGCCGCCCGGCGCCACCGCCACCGGCACCGCGTGCCCGCTGCGTCGCACACGTGGGGACGCACGGGAACACACGCACACGCAGGAACACACGCGCAGGAACACGCACACGCGTGCGAGTATGAGCGAGTGTTAGTGAGCGGCTGCGAGCGAGCGTGAGTGTGTGCAAGTGTGTGCGAGTGTGTGCGAGTGTGAGCAAGCGAGCGAGTGTGTGTGAGCGAGCGTGACACCTCGAACGAGCCAGCAGGTTTTGGATCTTGGCGACCGTGCGTCTCCGTGCCTCCATCTCCTCCGGGCCCAGGGCCTCCTCCGGCTCCATCTCCATGTAACGTTCCGGGATCACCACCTTGTCTGGCCGGCCCAGCTGGGAGAGGAGAGAGGGGAGAGAGCAGACAGAGAGGGAGACATCACCAGTACCATCATTGTCGTTATCATCAACAGCATCAACATCATCATTATCATATTACCAACACTATTGTCACCTATACATCATCGCCATCGTTATTATATTAGCATTGCCATTCTGGTAATCACCATCACAAAGATACCTATATAAGTATAGGGTCCATGGGATATATCTTCTTCGATTATCCTTATGTGAGACTATGGATCCTACGCGAGTCTACAGATCATATGGGCCGAGCGGTTCGAGCTGCCGTTGAGCGAAGCCCACACGGACGAGTGGTGCGTGAACGCAGCTGTTAGAAACAGCGCCACCGCGTCTATCGTGGGAAGCCATTACGCAACCGCCGCGGTGGCCAGAGGGGTCGGTGGGTCAGCCGGCTGGAGATAAGAGGGGGAGCGGTAGCCTCCGTGACCCGGCGGGGGCTCGGGGGGGTCAGTGGTCTGAGCGTCCCGGGAGGGGGGTGGGGCGTCGTGTCGCGGGCGTGATCCACGTGCTCATCATCACGGACACCAACTCTGGACCCCCCCCCCCCGTCACACGAGCTGGGTCAGCGCCGCCCTTCCTCCCCCCACCGCTTGTGGCGTGCGAGCGGTCGTGGGCACGGTACCCGCGCGGAGGCGCTGGCCGGTTGACCAATCACGCACGGTCATCGTAAACGACACCAACATTATGAACGTGTTTCAACAAAGTGATCTCCCGCTCAGCATTGATCTCCCGCTGCGGTTCCATGTCCTGGTTAGGGTCCTGCAGAGCCAGCGGTGAAATTCCACATTCCCATGGATAGGGGTGCGAGTCCCTCCATAGGCCACAGCGCCGACACCAAATGTATTTAATTAAGATTCATTACTAATTAAGGTCAAAGGCCGTGGCACGGCACCGGAGGGCGGTCAGAAACGATCGCGAGCGAGGGCCGAGAGCTCACGGTGGAGCTCACCTCCTTGAAGAGGTCGACCTCGTAGCTGTCCGGCTCCACGTCGATCTCCGTGATCCCGTCGCGACCCCGCGGCGCCGAGCTCGCCAAGGTCGAGCTACTCTCCGCTCTGGGGGGGGCTGCTGGGGGGACTGCGGGGGCGGGGGGGGGCCGAGGAGGAGGAGGACCGGGGGGGGGCACCACCGTCCCACCCCCAGCTGACCGCCGACCCCCCCGACGGGCGAAGCTCCGACTCCTCGGGGTCCCAGTGCTGCTGCGAGGGGGGAGGGGGGGAACCGGTGGTGGAGCTGTTGAGCACGCAGGCGGTGCAACTGCACCGGGGCGCCTAGCGGGCCGGAGGGGCCCAGCCCCCGGGCTACCAAGGAAGGGGGCGCGGGGGGGAATTTGGTGAGGGCCCCACAGTGTCATGGCTCACGCCAGGGCCCGTGGCAACCACCTCACCCCGCCCCTCCAACCCCCCCCGCAACAAACAATCACAAGCCCGTGATAGGTACTGACCGGCGTGGTGAAGTATGGTCAAATAACCCCCGACAGCCCACGCGGCGTGGGGAGCCACTCATCCAGCAGCAGAGCGCCGCGAGCGCTGCAAGTGCCAATCTTCCGATAGAGCGACGCACAGATGGATTTCGGGAACGCGTGTGCGTGCGTGTGCGTGCGTGCGTGCGCGCGTGTGCGTGTGCGTGTGTGTGCGTGTGTGCGTGCGTGTGCGTGCGTGTGCGTGTGTGCGTGCGTGTGCGTGCGTGTGCGTGTGTGCGTGCGTGTGCGTGTGTGTGTGTGTGTGCGTGCGAGTGCGTGCGTGTGTGTGCTACTTATCTGGGACGGCTTGCTCAACCAACCCCGGGTCCCGACTTTTCAGGTCACATGACCTCTGCTTGCCTGACCCGCATGGCATCGTGGATAAGCTTGCATCTCTCTCCGCAAGGTGACGCCAATGCGGCGGGGAATGCCCCCCCCCCGTCCCCATGGCGGGCACCGAGAATCGAACCGTCAGACTCACGTGTGTGGCACTGTGACCGCATAACAACCGCACAACCACCTGTGCATGCACCACTTGTTGGGGTAGTAGGACAGAGGAGGAGGGGGGGGCTGGGTGGTTTGGGACAAAGAGGATGAATGCAAATGCCGAGTCGCGAAGAGTTGATTATTAAACAGGGGTGATGCGATCCCGTGTCGCATTGGGGCAAATGGTAGTGGCTGCAGGCGAATCGATAGGCAATGACGTCTATCGATTGATGCGTAGTGTCGTGAGCGTTTCCTGAGTGTAATCGCGATGATTAATCATCGATGAATAGATAAACAAACCAACATACATTAAGAGATAATGAGTGCGTCGAAGCCCTCCATTTATAAATCCACCGCAGGACGAAACGTCGCGGTACCTCAGGGACTGATAAACCTCGCTGTGACGATCGATCCAGGGGGCGTCGCCCGCTACTAAATCCGTTGGGCCGCTTCGGGTGGCGCTGGTGGTGACTGGTGGTGGAGGGTTCCACGACACAAGAGCAAAATCGTTGGGCCAGATCATTACGCGGAACGAACCTAAGAAGCGAACCAACGACAACAAACGCCGCGTCGTCCGACCCCCGATTAATAAAACACGCGAGCGGACTCGGACGGAACGGAGCAAGAGGGCTCGGCGCCAGGCCGGGGCGGCGGCGCGGAGGAAGACGCGGGAAGGACCGGAGGTCCGGATCCTGGATCGGAGGACCCCGGGGGATCGGAGGCTCCACATGCAGGAACAAAAAACAACGGAGACACGGAAGGCGGCCGCGTCACTCGCGTCAGATTCTCACAACACGGGAGGCGTCAAAAGCGTCGCGGTGCCAAAGAAGGAATGAGCACGACGGGTCACAGACCATCGCCAAAACAAAAGAAATAAAACAAAAGAAATAAAACAAAAGAAATAAAACAAAAGAAATAAAACAAAAGAAAACAAACAGGAGGCAGCAGCGGAGCGCAGGCAGACGAACCGTCCTCCTCGCTTTTATTTTGATCATCAGCATGCCCGACGACGCGTTCAGGCTGAGCGGGGGAGGGAGCGAGCGGGAGGGGAGGGAGGGAGGGAGGGCAGGAAATGAGCGGCCGGCTATCTCAGGACCCCTCGTTAGGTCGCATAATTAGGCAACATTATTTGGTCGCCTAATTAGGTTGCATAATGAGGTCACCCCTCACCTCCTCTCCCTGCCCTGGCTGCCAGAGGGGGGTGAAAAGGGGGTGACGGAGGGGGGTGGGGTTGGACTCAGTGGGGATAAGTTGCCAGCAGAGGGCGCTACAGTCCACAGCTGTGCGGCCCCGGTCGTCACAAACCAGCCGCACCGACCAGCTTGGTGAAGTATGGTCAATGAAATCCACATAAAGCCGCGGGGCCTGGGACAAGCGAATATGCCGCCCGTCACAGAAGTTTGCAGTTGGAGCCGAGTGACGGCCCTGGTTGATCCTGCGGCTGCCAGGGCAGTGGGCAGTGACCGGAGGGCAGCGAGGGGCAGCGAGGGGCGTGGCCTCGCCCGCCCAGACGCGCGCTCCAATCGCGAGCCTTGGTTCGACGCTTTAAACCGCAGTGAGAGTTACCGCTTACAAACAGGGGTACAGCTGTGGACGAGCCTGGATGGCGGACAGGTGCGGAGGGGACGGGGGAGACGAGGCCAGAGGGCATGGAGAGAGGAGAAGGGGGAGTTGCGGGAGGGCAGGAAGATGAAGGTAGTTGAGAAGTAGAGAGAAGGGCAGCACCAGGGCAGGGCGGTCGAGGGGCCTGGGTCATTAGTTGGAGGCGCGTGTGTGCGTGATCGCCAATTCAGCGCGTTGCTCTCACCCCCCCCCCCCCCGCTTGCTCTAACCACCTCGGGCGGGAGCCGCGGAGAAGCGGGCGACAGACCCCGTGGCCACGCCTGGGGCCGCTGGCGGTGGCCGGCGCTCTCGCCCCACCGTACCCGGCCAGGCGGAGGCGACCGTCGCCCCGGCGTGGATCTCCGGTTCGGTGGATCGGTCCGACTACCGCCAGGGTCGGCGTGCCGGACGGCGACGCGACGTTCCGCCCGGAGTTCAGTCCGTATCGGAAAATACCGACGAGAAGTTACGGAACCGCCACGCGCACCACCCCCGTCACGACGGACGACGACGAAGACGCACGAACGCTTTTAAACCGGCGCCGGGAAGCGCGAGCGAGGAAAAGCAACGAGGGCATCACACGGCGGTGACGACGACGACGACAACGGCGGTGACAACAAATACAATCGGAGGCCAAGGCACGGGGAGCGCGCGGCGCATGGGGGGGGGTTTGAGGCCGCAGTTACACTCCGGAGCAGCTACGCGACCGGAGCGGCTACGCGACCGGAGCGGGAGAAGGGGCGGTGCACGGCTCAGACGCGCCGGAGGCCCCGGCGGCTACGGTCCCGGTCCCCCGCGGGAGTCCGACCGATCACACGTTACCGGGTTGTGGCCCCGCCGGATTTGGAGGCCGCACGCCAAAGGCCACTCGGCTTGGACAACGGCGGTGGCCGCGTGGGCCCACGGAGCTGCGGCGCTTCCGTTGTTATCGTTGGGAGGCTCGTGGGGTTAATGTCGGCAACCGCTGAGAGAGGCGAAATCATGGGAACCGCGAGAGCCGTGGCCACAGCGCCAGTGGAGTTAGTAGGGCAGCTGCGTCCTCTACGCCGGCGTTAGTCCGATCGATGTGGAACTCGCTCGTCAATAACGCCGTGCGTGGCCTTCGAAGCGAACGGCACGACAACCGACGTTTCAGGCAATGGCCCATATTCACAGCGCGTTATTGACGAACGTGTTGAGTGTTATTTTGGTGCTGGTTTTTGCGAGCGCACCACTACCGACACAGCGTTGCCACTAAATGATTTGTCAAATCGCGGTGGAAACGATTTGCAGCAACTGCAGGTTAGGGCAGGACGGAGACCACACGCACGGACAGACAGATGGACGCACGGCAGAGTGGATCGTGGGAAAGCAGAGGTGGTGTGTTACGGGAAGGGTTAGCGGTCACCAGTGCAAACACCAGAGCATCGACTCCGATTCCCAAACCCCAAGCGTGGCCGCATGGGATGGACGGCAGCCCATGGTGGGCAGTGAACCGAGCGGTAGCGCATCTACCCACGGGTCTACGCACCGGTCTACCCACTGGTCTAAACACTGGTTGGTCTAAACACTGGTTGGTCTAAACACTGGTCTACTGACCAGTCTACCCGACAATCTACCTGCTGGCCTACCCACCAGTCTACCCGCCAGTCTACCCACTGGTCTACCCACTGGTCTACCCACTGGTCTACCCACTGGTCTACTCGCCAATCTACCTGCTGGTCTACCCGCCAGTCTACCCACCGGTCTACCCACTGGTCTATCTGCCGGTCTACCCACTGGGCTACCCCCCGGTCACCCCCAGTTCACGTGGATCGAGTTGGGCAACCGTTAAAATATAGGACCGCAGAGCTCGGGCAACCGGTTTTGTTGGCTGCCCTCCTCCACGCGGCACGGTCACCCAAGAACTCCCACCCCTCCGCTCGGAGTCCGACATGAAAATTATTTAATTAGATAAAACTGCCCCCCCCAACCCCCGCCCCCCCCCCCCCCCCCCCCCCCTTCCCCCCAACCCCCACCCCCTACTGCGAACACGACTTTACCTATACTCTTTGATTATTTCAGTAAAGTCACGTAGGTATTAAATAAAATAAATCACGACGTTTCGGGCGCAACACAAGCGTCCATCATCAGGAGGGAAAGCAAGCAGCAGACCATGCTTTCCCACCTGATGACGGACGCCTGTGTTGCGCCCGAAACGTCGTGATTTATTTTATTATCTACCTACGTGACTTTACCGAAAGAACCAAAAAGTATGGATCCCTGCAGTCACGAAAGCTTCAAATCACGACTTGACCTGTCTGTGAGATAGTGGTGGCCCTTGAAGGACTATCGCGCGACGACACCACGAGGGCCGACTGGCGCTAACCTAACAATCCTTCACCACCACCACGACCACCACCACGCCCGGTGACATGTTAAACCGCCGCCAGGCAGCGTGAAACAAAAAAAAGTGGTGGGGTGAACGCCCGAGTTAGAAACCACGTGACCCGACGTGCGGTGGCGGCACGGCGCGGCACGGCATCGAGGGGGCTCGCCACCCAAACCATTTGATTTGAAGCTCTCACAACGTCTCCTGAGCTCACTCTCCCTGCAAGCTTCAATCTCTTACATCTCCACTATGTCTCATGAACCGCTCTCTTAAATCCCTCTCTCTCTCCACCATCTATCACGAACCTGACTCCCTCCCTCTCTCTGACACGTCGCTCGCAAACATTCCCAGGCCTCTGCCTTCGTCTCAGTTCAACGATTCTCACCTCCATGAGACCAACACAACGACCACTGTGACACTTAGCCAACATCATTATTATTATCACCTTGACTCCTGCCTATCTCCATATCACCCACGCTCTCCCCTCCACTTATCCATCTCTCTTCCTCAAACTCTGCTCTTCATTACATGCTACATCTTTTGGTCTGTCTGTCTGTATCGTCCGTCTGTCTTTATCATCTCTCTCCGTCTCTCTCCGTCTGTCTGTATCGGCCGTCTCTCTCTCTCCGAGTCCCTCTACGCCGTTTTCCCAGCAGCTCAGGCGACCTCCCCCCCTGTGCCGCAGTGCAAAGGTCACGATCGCGCGCACTCAAGAGCTGGCGCGGAGACAATGAGTGAACCGAGATCACAACCCGGCGGTAATCATCTCTCCAGCGGCAGTGACACCAATCACAATAGTCATTAATAATAATAATTAATAATAATTATTAATAATGAATCATTAATAGTGGTTATGATTATAGATCCCAGACGGGAGTTCTACAGTGATGTGAAGGCACCGTGACCCTAACCCCCCCCTCCCCTCGACTCTCTCTCTCCATCACTCCCACCACTCTCTCTGAAACACTCTCTCTCTCCAACACTCCCAATAATCTCTCTCCATCACTCCCTCCATTCTCTCTGCAACACTCCCAATAATCTCTCTCCATCACTCCCACCACTCTCTCTGCAACACTCCCAATAATCTCTCTCTATCACTCCCACCACTCTCTCTGCAACACTCCCAATAATCTCTCCCCATCACTCCCACCACTCTCTCTGTAACACTCCCAATAATCCCTCACCATCACTCCCACCACTCTCTCTGTAACACTCCCAATAATCTCTCTCTATCACTCCCACCACTCTCTCTGCAACACTCCCAATAATCTCTCCCCATCACTCCCACCACTCTCTCTCTCCCCACCAACACTCCAACAACGCGTGCCCCGAGCGAGCGCGCGTCATCACCAACGTACGTATGCGAACGAGGCGGAGTGCGGGCGTGCGGGCAGCGTGGCCGTGCCACCGGCGGCAGCCCTGCTGTTCGCCAGCGTGCCACCGCCGCCAGCTGCGGTTGCAGCGGCAGTGCCACCGCCGCGCTTGTCCGACGCCGAGCTGAGCGAGCGCTTGCGCTGCCGCTGTAGGGTTCGCTGGTTCCGCTTCATCCGCGCCAGCTGCTCCTCAGCACTCATGCGGCCACCGCCACCGCCGCCGGAATACAGACGCTCTAGGGCGCTGCGGGGTCGGTCCCGCTGGGCGGACACGAGCAGGGGGGGAACACGTGCATGAGCGTGTGTGTGTGTGTGACTGTGTGCGTTGGTGCGGTAGTGTAGCGGTTAGGGCGCTGCGCTATGAACCCGGCGACCCGGGTTCGATTCCCTCTCACGACCAACACCAGTGACGATTATCTGAACCAGTACTGGGCCTCCCCTAGGTCGACTCAGCCTGAAATGAGTACCTGGTGCGGTGTGTAAACATCGCCACTGGGGGGACAAAGGCGGTCGGGCGTGGTGCTGGCCACCCACCCCCTCGTGTACCGTTCCGGCCTTCATAGGTGCTAGTTAACAGCACTTGCCCCTACAGTCTGTTCAGGCTATACGGGGGATATTTGTCTTTGTGTTGGTGCGTGTGTGTTGGTGCATGTGTGCGTGGCGAGCGGTGGTGCAGCGGTTGACTCACCGCACCACAAACCCGGCGACCCGAGTCGGACTCCCGCTCACAGCACAAACATCGGTGACGATTATTATTACCTGGACTGGCACTGGGCCTCTCAGTGCCAGTCCAGGTAAAACCAGCCTCAAACGCCTCACCGGTGCGGTGTGTAAACAACATGAGCACTGGGGAGACAAGACGGCCGAGCGTGGTTGCTGACCACACAACCTCCTTGTGTGCCGTGTTGGCTTTAATAGGTGCTCGCTAACAGCCCCAACAGCCTGTTAAACGCTATACGTGGGGTCTTTGTATCTGTGTGTGGTGAACCCGTTAACACTGCTGCGTGGAGCAAAAATTTCTCCTGAAACTGAACACTGGCTACCGGTTATGGAGTTAGCAGTTACGGTGTTGCTGGTTATGGGTTACCGGTTTGTGGGATTATCGGTGATGGGTAACCGGTTACGGGTTACAGGTTACGGGTTTACCGGTTCACGGCCCTGGGCACGACCCCGTACCTGTGACGAGACGTTAGCCTCCGTCTGGCTTCGTCGAAGCGTCACGAAGGAGGAGACGGAGAGCATCTGCGATTGGCCTGCAAGCACACCAACAACCGTCATCGTTCAGCCATGATCTCTCCACTGCTAGACGGAGGCTTCAAAGTCGTCGCCATCTCTCTCTCTCTCTATCTCTGACGGTCGAGGATTCATCTTCAGCCGGGTTCCTTCAGAGTCTGCGACGACCCAAAACATATTTCTGTTCCCGGCACACCATGTCCAGGAGACCGTTGTTGCTGCTACGAGCGAGGGAGGGAGGGGAGGATGGAGGATACCTGGGAGTGTCGATCTGTAGAGGGAGGACGAGGGATCGCTGCTGGTTCCGATGGAGAGCTCGGGCTCACTCTGGGGTGGAGAGAGCACGGAGCGGAGACTTGGATCAAACATCGTCGTCACCATCATCATCGTCGTCATCATCGTCAATGTCACCATCATCATCGTCGTCATCATCATCGTCGTCATCATCGTCGTCGTCATCGTCAATGTCACCATCATCATCGTCGTGACTGGCCTCAACAGCACACAGAGTGGGGGAGGGACGGTGGGGGCCCCTCACGTGGTACTGGTAGTCCCCGTTGGTGAGTCCGCCGTGCTCCCGGTCTCTCCGCCGCTCGCCCGACTGCCGCTTGAGCTCGCGCACCGAAGTGTGGCGCAGCGCCTGCGTCTCCCTGGGGAGGGGCGGCACGTCGGGGGGGCGCCCCCCCTCGGCCGACGGTGATGGAGGCTGCTCCCCCATGGCAGCAGCGTCGTCGGGGGAGTAGGCACGGGGGAGGGGGGGCCGTGGGGGGGCGCGCTCCTCCTCCTCCTCCAGGTAGCGCTGAGACGGAGGGAGGGGGGAGGGGGGTACGGGAGCTCATTCACCTCTACACTCTCACCGGCCTTCACGCACCTGTCAACACACTCACCTGTCAACACACTCACCTGTCAACACACTCACCTGTCAACACACTCACCTGTCAACACACTCACCTGTCAACACACTCACCTGTCAACACACTCACCTGTCAACACACTCACCTGTCAACACACTCACCTGTCAACACACTCACCTGTCAACACACTCACCTGTCAACACACTCACCTGTCAACACACTCACCTGTCAACACACTCACCTGTCAACACTCACCTGCCTACACCCTCACCTCTATAAACTCACGTAAAAGCCCCCACAGGGTTCAGTGTTAATCACCGAGGCTCACCGAGCCAGACTAAGGCTGAGAACGAGTGAACCCGGTCGGCCAGGCCGTCCCCGGCGTGCGTGTCGCGCCGTACCTCGTAGTTGCGAGGCGGCGGGGGGGGCTCGTACCCTCGGTCCACGGCCGCCCCCCCGCGGGGCTGGGGGGCTCCGTCACGGGTCGACCCATCTGTGCGGCGGCGGAAACACGCAGACGGAATCAGCGACCTTTCCCTTAAACTCCCAGGATGTCCTCAACACCCCCAGCCTCGCAAGATCCAGCGTGGCTCCATCGCTCCCTCCCACCAAGGCCCCCCCCTTCTCTCTCCCTGCCGCTGGGTGGTGTTGCTAGCCGTCGTGCTGTGCGACGCTGTGCCGTGCGGCGTTGTGCGGTGCGAACGATTTCCCCCGCACACCACAGATCGCGCGCGGCTCAACAATCCTGGTGTGCAGCGTGATGCGGTGGCTGCCCTTCCTGTACAGCAACGACTCCTCCTGGCCCCCGTACGGCCGCCCCACGCGGCCGCCCCGGCCCCCAAATGGCTGCCCTCGTTGCGGCAGCCAGCCCCGCGCCGTTCCCCCACGGCCCCACTAGGCTGCCCCCCCGCCTCCCGCCACCTTTCCCGTGCTCACCTCGCTGCCCCGCGCTGCCCACGTACTGCAGCCCGCGCAGGACGTCCTCCATGCGCCACAGCTGCTTCTGCAGGCGGGCGGCCGCGGGCGCTCCCGCCGCGGGCCCCAGCCGGGCAAGCTGGGCCGAGGCGGCATCCTGCAGGCCCCGCGCCTCCCTCTCGAGGCCGCGGCGCTCCTGCATGACGCGCTCCCACTCCTGGGGGGGTCACGGCGAGGTCAGGGCACGGTCGCGGCGTGCTCACGGTGGTGGTGGTGGTGGTGACGGTGGTCGTGGTGCGTGAAGGTGCGTGAGCGTGCGGGTGCTCGAGGGTGCGTGTGCCTCAAGGTGCACATGGCCTGGCACAAGCGTCGTGGTGACGTCACCGCCACTTAGTGGCGAATGGCGGTTGTTGTTGTTGTGTGCCCGTACCGAGTTGGAAAGCGAGATCTGTGCCAGCAGCTGCACCAGGTCCTCCTGCAGCAGCCTCTGCTGGTAGAGGATCTTCTGCTGGTGGGCCGGCTGGCCCCGGAACTCCTGCATCTGCCGGTGCGTGGTCTCCAGCGCCTCCTCCAGCCGCGCCTGCCACGGCGCACGGAGGCACGCTCGCTTTACGCGCAACCGAATTGCCCCCGGCATCTCCGCAACGTGCAACCGGTTGCTCGCGCGAGGGTCGCTCTCGACTTCCGAGCGTCGGGCTGACGATTGATTTGTTTACCCGGGAAAGCCAAGCTGAGCCCAGAGACTCCCCTTTCACGAGGGGCCCACGTTGGGCTGTTTGGGCAATGTCGGTGTGGCCCGTCGGGAGGAACGACCTCCCTCCGTAGCCGACGCCGCGTTCGTGCGGGAGGCCTCCATCCGGCAGTGTATCGACCAAGGGGCTGTGCATTCCTCTAGTTGGGCCTTACAGGAAATGCAGACCCACCCACCCCCCCCACACCACCGTTTGGCTAACAAAGCAAAACGGCCCCTTGCAGCAAAAAATGTCGACGATGTGGAGCGGTTGGAAAACAACCGCGGCCGAAACAATCCGTGGACTGTGATTCGGTGTTTGTTTTATTTCTCAAATTGCTTTCGCGACGACGCAATGGATATTTTGCCGGGGCTTTCACTCATTTGTCGTCCCGCACGACAGCTCGGAATTTATTCAATATACGCGCGTGTGTGTGTGTGTGAAAACGTATGAATTATATTACACACGTGTGTGTATTTATAATAATATACTGCTCACTGTAACCGCTGCTCAATGTGGTCTTGCATTCATCAATTTGGCCTGAAACCAAATCTACTCTCAATGCGACCGTGTTTCTTTGCAAAGCTAGGACCGAGCGCAATCCTTTGTTCCGTTAATTTTATTTATTTACTGTTGTTCTGCTCGTTTTACCCAGGGAAACCTCGCTGAGTCTCAAGACTCTTTTTAAAGAGGATCCTGCCAGGTGTTCACAGGCGAGGAGGGCAATGTTGTTGTTGCTGCTGCTGCTGCTGTGAAATCCCACATGGAGTGATCTGCAGGTGGATTTTCAGCACTGGGACGTTCTGGACAATACCGGTGACATTGGGAGGTCGCTTGTTTCGTAGCTATGGGAGGAATGCGGAGAACCCAGAGGAGAGCCGTGCCAAACATAGGGAGAGAATATACAAACTCCACGCACTCACTCACACACTCTCACATATATTCTCACTCACACACACTCACAGCTTGCAGACCATCGGGAGAACATACAAACTCCACGCAAAAATGCACCCAGGTCAGGAGTCGAACCCACGAAACTTGCTTATAGCATGCACTCTTCGCTGCAACAGTGGCAGTTTTGATGGGCGACGAGGGTTGCGTTGAGACGGGAACGTGTGCCTGGGCCCCCCCCCCCCCCCCACGTTCCCTACGCTGACGCCGGTCGCCTTGTGGCGGCGGCGCCGAGTGGCCGGGCGGCGGTGCGGTGAGCAGCGCTCACCTTGTCATCCTGCAGCTGCTGGAGTTGAGCGGTGAGTGAGCGCAGTGACTGGTCCTCCTCGCACAGACGTGCCAGCCGCAGCTGTCGAAGGCACGGCGTTACCAGAGGTCGCGGGGGAGAAGGGTCATTTGGGGTCACCAGGGGGTCAACCAGGGACTAACGTGAGGTAGCCCCTGCCGCGGTGCTGGTGGTGATGTTGGCGGTGGTGGTGGTGATGTTGGCGGTAGTGGTGGTGATGTTGGCGGTGGTAGTGGTGGTGATGTTGGTAGTGGTAATGTCGGCGGTGGTAATGTTGGCGGTGGTGGTGCGCGTCTGTGGTGCGGATATTTTGTGGTTGTTTCGGAGGCGAGGGTTGGTGGACCGCGTGGAAATCCACGAGGCTCACGCCTGCTGCTGGGTTGCATGCAATCTGGCCAGGAGGTGGCGGTAAAGCAAGATATTTGGACACCGGCCCAGATTTAGAGTAATTATTTCAACTCAACAACAATTACAATTACTCATCCACCCATTCCATGCTGACTAGGAACAATAATGCAAAAACATATGTTTTGCATTTTAACGGCGCTTGCTCAAATGCCTCAGACATTAGAATCTCGTTGCATCGCATCTTGTCTCGACACGTTCTCCAAGGGCACCCCTGGTGGCAGCTGTCCCTGTGTGGCACAAGGAGACCCGGCGCCTTTCCAGCAAGCGGGTGCGAGTCCTGCTAGCAGGGGGCGACGATTCCTCCTGTGCATAACCTCAATTGAGCAGCTGTAGGAATAAGTACAATGATGACGATAATGACGATGACGACGACAAAGATGATGATGATCATGGCGTTGATGACGGCGTTGATGACGGCGATGATGCTAATGGCGATGATCGTCATCATCATCATGACGATGATGACGATGATGATCATGGCGATGAAGATGATGATGATGGTGTTGAACGGTGGCGATTGCTGTTGATGAACGCTGCCTTTAACCGGCCACGCGGCTGCCCTCACCTCGATCTCCTTGTCGTCCGGAAGGTGGACCCCGGTGGGCGGGGAGGGCGCCGCGGACATCTGTGGGGCGGTGGGGACGCCGACACAAATGCAGCCATGAGCACAACCGGCCAACCCTCGTGGACCGGGAATCGGTACGGCTCGCGAAGCCTCACGGCGACTCACGGAGCCTCGCGGAGCCTCGCAGGTCATGTGCAGCAGCGCGGACGCTCTCGCATTGTGTGTGTGCGTGTGTATGTGTGCGTGTGTGTGTGTGTGCGTAGTCCGGCAAAACAACCCCCTACCTCCTCGCGGTGCCGGACGGGCAACTCTGTCGTGGACAGCGCTGTGGGGGGAGATCCAATTTTGATTGGCTCCTCCCCTCATGGCATATGTGTCCACCACAGGGGCTAAACGGGGGCTCTGGACGGGTGCGAGGGGCTGGTAACCCCTCCACCTTCAATTAATTACCACGAAACTACGAATTAAACTGAAATATGTAACAACTAAGCTTGTGCTGGAGGCCCCGGGGGGCCAGGCGTCTATGACGTCTCCTGGCCAAACCCCAATTGGCGGAGCCAGGAGATTGAATACCTACCCTCGGGGCTACTCCAGAAACAACGAAAAGCCACTACGGTTGGCCACGTGGAATGTTCGAACGCTCACTGCAGAGGAGAGGCTGCCACTCCTCTGTCGGGAGCTGGACCGGTACCGCCTGGATCTATGCGGCATTCAGGAGGTCCGGTGGACCGGCTCTGGCTCCTGCCACCATGAGGGGTGGACAGTCCTCTACTCGGGGCAGCAGACTGCCAAACAACAGGGTGTGGGTCTTCTTTTGAACAAAAGAATGAAGGGGGCGTGGGAGCGTGGAGGTGAGGTGTGGGAAGCTGTAAGCCCCAGGCTACTTTGGGCTCGCCTTCCCATCAACCGGAGGCGAGGAATGGTGGTCGTGGTTACTTATGCCCCCACCGAAGATGAACATCCGTGGAGGGATGCAGGCAAAGCCGATGAGTCAGATGCCTTCTATGACCTCCTGTCACAGGTGCTGGCTAAAGTGGCCCCTCGGGATAGAGTCATCATGTTGGGTGACTTCAATGCCCGAGTTGGTCATGATACTGGCACCTGGTCTGGAGTGATTGGAGGGCATGGGCCAGATCAGCTCAATAACAACGGTAGGAGGCTGCTAGATTTTTGTGCAGCCCATGGGCTTGTAATTACCAACACGCTGTTCCGGCATCGGCGCATCCACACAACATCATGGATGCATGCCGGGTCCAAGCAAGAACATCTGCTGGACTACATAGTGACGGACCAGCGAATGCGAGCCCATGTCCTTGACACCAGGACCTACCGTGGAGCTGATCTGCCCTCTGACCATCGACTAGTCATCTGTATGATGCGCCTGCTATTCTTCCACTCCGGTGGTGGGTGTACACCCAGGACCCCATTCCAACCTAAAGTGGCCTGGTCTCAGTTATCTGATGAAAGTTGCAAGCGAGAATTTCATCATCGCTTGCGGCTGGGATTGGCATCGTCCCCGACTCCTCCTGATGTCGAGGGTAAATGGGCGAGGTTTAGGACTGTGATTCATGCAGCTGCAATGGCTGCTTTGGGTACGCGGTCCAGACCTCCCCAGACACCCTGGATGACAGAGGAGTTGTTCACGATGGTTGAGAAAAAGCGACAGGCCCACTGTCATCGGCTACAGAATCCCACGTCAGAGAATGAGGAGGCTTACCGCAGCCTTCGCTCGGAGGTTCGGAGAGCCGTGAGGCGCTGCAAGGATGGGTGGTGGTCGCGGGTTGCTGAGGAGATCGAGTCTGCCTCAGTGGCCCGTGATCACAAATCTCTATTTAACTCCATCAAAAAAGTAACCTGCAGCGCCACACCTATTACCATCATTAGGGGAAAAAACGGTGATCCAATTTCCGACCCCCAGGAACAGGTTCGCAGATTTGCTGAGCATTTCTGTGAGGTCCTGGGGGAGGGAAAATCCCTCAGCCAGGAAAACATCGTGGCACAAAGTGAGGATGACCCTGCTGAGGCTGCGGTGCCTCAAATATTGGATGAAGTCACCCCCTGTGAGTGGCTGGCTGAGGTGCCATCTGCTGAGGAAGTATTGAAGGCGATCCGGAGTCTGAGACCAGGAAAGGCAGCGGGCAGAGATGATCTCCCAAGCGAAATGCTGAGGGAGGGTGGCGTTTGTGCACAGACTGCCCTATATGACATCATAACAACAGTCTGGACCACTGGACGGGTTCCGCAGGATTGGAAGGATGCCCTGGTGGTCCCCCTTTTTAAGAAGGGGGACCGCACAGACTGTAACAACTACAGGGGCATCTCACTCCTCAGTGTGCCGGGAAAGGTCCTGGCAAGGATTATTCAGCATCGCCTTGCCAGGCACGCTGAGGAAAGGCTTGCGGAGCCCCAATGCGGTTTCAGGAAAGGGCGGTCCTGCACAGATGCCATATTTTCTGTCCGTCTGCTACAGCAGAGGTGTAGGGAATTCCAACAAGACCTACATCTCTGCTTTATTGACCTGGTCAAGGCCTATGATACCATCAGTAGGCCTGGGCTCTGGGTCGTTCTTCGTGCTTTTGGAGTACCTGACCCTCTGCTCACGATCATTAAGGACCTTCATGATGGTGAGCGGGCCCGGGTAAAACTACGTGGCCGGGAATCAGAGCCATTCCCTGTACACCTTGGGGTGCGACAGGGATGTCCTCTGGCTCCCACATTATTTAACATCTATTTTGACCACGTAGTTCGTGAAGCCTTCAATAGCTGTACCGGGGGAATCTCCATATGGTACAGATATAATGGGAGGCTAATCGATGCCCGGGTGCGGTCAAGGGATGGCTCCCTATTGCTCAACCACGTTATGTATGCTGATGACTTGGTAATAGCTGCTCAGTCAGAGGAGGAGTTGGAGACGCTGCTGCTGAGACTGGAGCATGCCACTAAGAGGTGGGGCCTTACCATCAGCCCCACCAAAACTAAGCACCTGCCTGGGTATTTTGTACCATCGGACACTCCACCCCCACAACTCCCAATCGGTGATGGGGCAGTTGTGGAGAGAGTGGAGAGTTTCCCATACCTGGGCAGTGTGCTTATGACTGGCTCCAGTTTAGCAGCAGAGGTCTCACTCCGAATCAGTCGAGCGGCAATATCTTTTCATCGGTTGCGTAACGCTGTGTGGAAGCTACCTGGTCTGTCGCTCCGCACTAAGATTCAGGTCTTCTCGGCCACGGTCATTCCCTCCCTTCTCTACGCTTGCGAAACGTGGACCCCCCTAATGGAACATCTTCGCCGGTTAGAAACATTTAGGCTGGCCTGCCTACGATCCATCCTGGGTTTAACCAGACTGGATTGTGTGAGGAGCTCACAAATCCTTGAAAGATCTGGGCAGGGTCCCATCGGTGAGCTCCTCCGGCAGGCAAGGCTGCGATGGCTGGGTCATGTAGCCCGCATGCCCAGCCACCGCATGCCGAAACAGCTTTTGTTTGGCCGGATTGAGGGGGTTAAGCGGGCGCGGCACGGGCTAGAGAAGAGATGGAGTGATGTGGTACAGGAGGACGTGGAGCTGAGTGGACTTGCCGATGACTGGTACCAGCGGTGTCAAGATCGGCCTCTGTGGAGGAGGCTCGTGAAGGACGCTACTGGGCAGTTGGAGGCAGTCGCCCTCCAACAACAACGGAGGGCGGAGGAGCGACGCTCACAACAGCGAGCGGAGCGCCGGGTGGCTAAAGCACAGCAGGTTGGCACAGTAGGGGGCACAGGTGGTGCATCAGCCAGTCATCTCAGTCAGTCGACCCGTGGCACCTGGGTCTGCCCCGTGACCTCCTGCCAGCGGGCGTTCGACACTTCACGTGGCCTCAGGGTGCACATAGCCTGGCACAAGCGTCGTGGTGACGTCACCGCCACTTAGTGGCGAATGGCGGTTGTTGTTGTTGTTGTTGTGTGTGCGTGTGTGTGTGTGCGTGTGTGTGTGTGCGTGTGTGCGTGTGCGTGTGTGCGTGTGCGTGTGTGCGTGTGTGTGTGTGCGTGTGTGTGTGTGCGTGTGTGTGTGTGCGTGCGTGGGGAGCGATAGTGTAGCGGTTAGCGCGCTGTACTATGAACCTGTCCACCCGGGTTCGATTCCCGCTCACGGCAAACACCAGTGACGATTATCTGAACCGGTCCCGGGCCTCCCCTAGGTCGACTCAGTCTCAAATGAGTACCTGGTGCGGTGTGTAGTAAACATCGCCACTAGGGAGACAAAGGCGGTCGGGCGTGGTGCTGGCCACCCACCCCCTTGTGTACCGTTACCGGCCTTCATAGGTGCTCGCTAACAGCACTTGCCCCTACAGTCTGTTAAGTCTATACGGGGGATCTTTGTTTTATGTGTTGTGTGTGCGTGTGTGCGTGTGCGCGTGCGTGCGTGTGCGTACCGGTTTGCTGGAGAGCGAGTAGGTGGTGACTGAGTGGGGGAGGGAGCTGTAGGCACCCGGGAGGGAGCGACGGTCCTGGCTCTCTGGACCCTGCGATGGCCGCACACGATCACAAAGACAAAGATCCCCCATATAGCCTTAACAGTATTTTTGGGCAAGTGCTGTTCGCGAGCACCTATGAAGGCTAGCGATGTTGCAACATTAGGAAGGGTTCAGATTATCTCTGCTGGCATTGGCCCTGAGCGCAGCGTGCTAACCACTACACCAGCGCTCCCCCACACTGCGAGGCATCAGTTTCGCTTGATGTTCCAAAGCTCACGCTAGGACCTGTGAATCGTGGGAGCTAGAAGATCATCAGATGTGAATCAAGCGGTGTGTGCCGACTCTGCTGAGGTACGACATTCACCGCAACGGGGAATGAAAATGCAATGAAACAGCAACCTCTCATCTACTTAAATCTGTCCACATCTGTCTAGGTTTCCAGACAATCCTGTTTTCATGTCTGGCTTCAATCCAACAGAATTATAATCAGACTCTCTCTCTCCCGTTCTCTCCACACCCTCTAATCTCCCCTCACACACTGTCCCTCCCCCTTGGAAGTGAAAATTAAAGACACAAGCCGCAGTGCTGCGATTGGGCCCGTGAAACGAAAACGACGGACCCCATAGAGTAAACCCAACGAGACGCACAGAGACACACAGAGACACAAAGAGACACACAGAGACCCACAGAGACACACAGAGACACACAGAGACCCACAGAGACACACAGAGACCCACAGAGACTCGTAAACATTAAAGACGAGCCGTCAGTGGCTCAGGGGGTGCGGCAATCGGTCAGGTGGGGACAACGATCATTTTAAAAACAAATCTCATGGTGGTTGTCAAGGAGGCCCCAACTCATAGCATTGGCCACCAGGCTCGTTATGCTACTGCAAGCCGTGGCAGTGCGACTGTGGCCATCCAACTCAAATCGTCGACCCGCACAGTAAACTCAATGCGGTCTGCGCTCCTTCAACAGACGAGGAGGAACAGCGACACGACACCAACTCTCTGCGGAGGTCCTGCAGGCAGCAGCAGCAGCAGCAGCAGGACCTCCGCATTGAGCGTCGAGCTTCCGGACACCGCCGCTTGTGCCGCCGGCGCCGTCGCGTGCGAGCGAGAGCAGCGTCGAACCTTGTAGGCCGCCCCGGCGGGCGCCCTCCTCGCCGGGCCGGCGTCGTCCTGGCTGTAACGGCCGGCGGCCACCGCCACCCTCCCCACGGGGGCGTGCGGGGACGTGACGCCGCGCGACGACCTCGCGGCGGCTCCCGCAAAGGGCCCGGCGCCCCGGTCGACGCCGGGGGACGTGGGCGCCTCCGTGGGCGAGCGAGAGGGGGGCGCGACGCCCTGGCGGAAGAGCTGGCGCTGCTGCCACTCGTAGAGGCGCCAGACGGTTCCCTCCTTGCTCGAGCGCTTGTCCTCGTCGTTCATGCTGCGCAGGAGGACGCGGTCCTGCGCCGGGGGGGTCGGCGGGTCGGCAGGGCGGCAGCCACCGTGGGGTCAGAGGTGCGGGAAGAGCGAGGGGTCGAGAGGTCAAGACGGTCGAGTCTGGGGTGCGGTGGCGATGTTGGCTGTGAGCAAACCAAGCAGGGCGTAGGGCCCCAAGGAGCTTTTGGGGGGGGGGGGCGGTGGGGGGCTCCAGATTCTCAATGAATAAAGAGGAGAGCCGAGTGAACATCGAACGGACACCGTTCTAAGAACACGGCCTGTGATTTGGTCGATTAGCTTCGTGAATTTCGCACAGCCGCGACGTCACCAAGTTGTGCAGCTCGTCCCTCGCGTCACGCTTGTCGCCCCCACAATGGTGACGGTGGTGATGATGGCGGTGGTGATGATGGCGTTTATTATGAAGGTGATGATGGTAGCGACGATGACGGTGATGGGTGTCGGGTGGACAGCAGTCATCATCACCGCAAACGAAATGCAACGGCCGCGTCGCACCCGGTAAACGAATCCATCTGTGCGGCGTGCGCGGGCGGCCTCTGACCTGGGCGTACTTGTAGTCGCCCGGCCGGGCGGCCACGTTGGCTCCGTGCCGCTGCCCCCTCCCGCCCGCCGCCGCGGGGGCGCCCCCCACGGCCCCCCGCACTGGCAGCGTGCGGGTGCTGTAGGCCGGGGCCGTCGAGGCCGGGGCGGCGGCGCCGGGGCCGGCCGCCAGGCGCGACGGGAGCGTCGGCTGGGATGGTCGGGCCTGGTCGGTCACGTCCGGCCTCACCTCCCGGCGCAGCCTCGGCATCGTCTGGGTTTGGGGGCCGCTGTGGGGGGGGGGGGGGGCGGGAGAGGGGGCGGTCAGGATAGAACGGAGAAGATCCGGCCGCCAACTTCCGTGGTGGCGTTGACGGTTTGTCCCTTGCGAATGGCACCACGGGATCTGTAACGTCCGCTGCGAATGGAGGAGACGGGCGTGTAGCACCCCCCGCGCTTAGAACCAGGGCGGCCGCTGGATTCGAACTGCGAACATCTGCAAACGAGCGAGAGATTCGCCGACGGTGAGGAGTCACCCGCGCAGCCGGGCGGCCGCGTCCTCTGAACTCTGAGCCCTCAAGCCTCGTCGTCGACCCTACCTCTGCCGGGCCGGGTTGGAGCCCTGGCTGTGGTTGCTCCGTGACGGACGCGACACGATGACGGGCTGGTGGGGCTGCCTGGGGTCGGGGCCACGGGGGGGGTGGGCCCCCTCGGAGGGGTAGGGACCCCGGGCCACCGTGCCGGAGACCTCGGGCCAAACGTGGGCCCTGGGACCCTCGCCGTGGCGGGGCTGCATGCGGACGCACGCGCACGCATCCACACAGGCACACACGCAGGAATAACCACGCAAGTACACGCAGGCACCGGCCGTACAAGCACACACCTACGGGTACTTGATAGGATTCAGAGGCAGGCCATCAGGATGACGAGCGCTCGCTGGTTCAGCCACCCGCTCACTGACGGGCAGTCATTTCCTTTCCGCTCTTCTCTTGCTACAACCGCCCTGGTCATCGTTCACTAAACTTTACTGATTCTGCATCGTCTCATCCACCACCACACTGCAGATGGATGTTGAACTTGTTTTGCACCGAACGTAGCCAACCGTGCTCATCGGAGGTGCAATTAGCACGGTTGGCTAATCAGATCATAAAAATACACTCAACACCCACCCACCCCATCACACACCCACTCACCCCCTCACCCACCCACACACCACCCTGCTGGACTCCTCACTCCGCTTTCTGCTTCTTCCCCTGCACCGCTCCCCTCCTCCCATCGTCACCATCGTTCATGTTCCCCCAAGCCCTCACAATGATAACCTCACTCGATCAAGAAACGTGTCCAGAACTCGAATCCATTATCTATTGCCACAACCACTCTGATCGTCCTCTGACAGGGGGTGCCGTACCCTGCCTTACCAGGAGAAGGCAGTACAGCAAATTGGATTAATCAACAGCTGTTGAATCTGTATGAGATAGATTTCTCTGGGTACTCCAGTTCCCTCCTACCTGTAAACATTAATTCATTGGCCAACAACACCTTCATAATATATATATATAAGACTGTAAAGCTTCGGCAATTGTTGCTACTGCCAACTCAGGCTACTGTGAGAGTCCGAGCCAGAGGGGACGAGAAAGGCCTTGAGCCTAGACTTGGAACAGGGGCTGCTCGTTGGCCGCCGATCCCAACTGCTCTCTCGCCCGCTCACCTGCACGCTCGCTCGCCCGATCAACCGCACGCTCACCCTCTCGCCCGCACGCTCGCACGCTCGCCCATTCACCCGCACGCTCGCTCGCTCGCCCGCTCACCCGCACGCTCACCCTCTCGCCCACACGCTCGTTCGCCCGCTCGCTCGCTTGCCCGCTTGCCCGCTCACCCGCACGCTCTCTCGCTCACTCGCTCGCTTGCTCACTCACCCACCCGCTCTCCCGCACGCTCTCCCGCCTGCTCTCACCTGCGCCACCATCACCCTGGCATCGCCGCCACCGCCACCGCCGCCGTCGCTGTCCGAGAGCCGCGGCTCCCTGCGGCCCCCCCCACCGCCCCCGGCCCCCGGCCCCGCCGCGGGGGCCCCCCCACCCCCGTTGGAGCGCGGCGCCCTGCGGGGGCTGCGCGGGCCCTCCCCCCGGCCCGCGCCCCCCCCGCTCGCGCCCCCCAGCCCGTGGTGGTCCCCCCTCCCGTTGCGCGCCGGCTCCTCGTGGCGAAGGCGCTCCGCGTGGTGGTTGGGGCCGCCCTGGCCGTTCCTGCGTGGGTGGAGCGGCGTGCGTCGCGACATGCTCGCCGTGGTGCCGGCGGTTGGGGACGGCGTGGGTGGTGTTGGCGGCGGTGGCGTGGGTGGTGATGGTGTGGGCCTTGGTGGTGTGTGCACATACCCTTCACGGGTGCGGCGGCGCTCACGGTACTTGTTCAAGGCTACCGGGGGGATCTTTGTCTTTGTGGCAGTGGGTCGGGGTGCTGTGGGTAACGTCGGGTGGTGGGTGAGTTGGGGGGTTGACTCGGCCCATCATCCATCCATCCCTCCAGGGTCCATAAAACGACTGCCATTGTGTGGGGAACTCAACGATGGGGTTGTCCTATGGATATACACATCCCCGGCATAGGAATGTGGCTCTACGGGGCTGTGAACAGGAGATGAGCACCGGTGCCTCGATGCTCAGTTGAGTCGGAATGATCGCTCCCACTCGGGCTGCGTCGGGTTTGTGCAACAAACTATATTCGCGTCATCGTCATCATCATTCTCATCACTGTCACCATCGTCATCGTCGTCGTCGTTGTTGTCATCATCATCATCGTCGTCATCATCATCATCATCCCCGTCGTCATAATCATCATCACCGTCGTCATCGTCACACCGTCTCGCGAGGCACGACGACCAGTGTCTCTCACCGGCGTGGCTGAGACAGCGCGGTGTGCCCCAGCGCCGCCATCCAGTCGTCGGCATCCCTCTGGCTCTCCGCCGCCAGGAAGTACGTCCGCCTGCCCGTCTGCTGCGCCTGATAGTGCATCACAAAGTCGCGGCTGTAGTAGTAGGCACGCTGGCCCGTGGGGCTCATCTGGGGGGGGGGGGGGGGGGGGGGGGGGGAGATTAACGGCGTCACACGTGGAGACGTCAGTCCCACGCACACGGCCAAAGCGTAATTCTCATGAACAATTTTTTTGTTAAAATAATTCATTACTTTTGTTATAATCAGGGATTCATGTTTGTAGGGTCGCTGTGTAGATTAGCGTAGGTGGCACGTGACTATAATCAGTAGCCGAAGTCGCATCGGGAAGTATACTTGACGTGGCTTGCCGGATTATATTAATATCCCCGGTTATAATCAGAGTCGTAGCAATGATAGCAGCAGCAGCGGCTCTGTAGCCGGGCCAGTGGTGTCACGGCCAGCGTATGTGAGTTTCACTTCCACTTGGCAGCCAACTCCCAAGAGAGTTGGATAACATTTAGTACCACGTTGTGCGAGTGAAAGTCCACGGGCGGGTTTATCGTACGAATGAATATCCCTCCGCCAAATGAAAGTGGAAACACTCTAAAGTCGTTTGGCCAAATCCTCTCCCGTGAGCGTCTCTGCACGTATCAGGAAACCGGGGAGCCCGGAGAAGCCCCGGCACCACGCGCACCGACGGGGATACTTGCTGTACTGCCCGCTGTCGGCATCATCGGCCGTCGGGTGTGAAGAAGTTCGTGTGTCGCACGGCCTCCCATCTCGGAGTGATCCACCAACCCCGGACGGCAGCAGGCAATGGCTACCCCTAACGGCATGAGTGATTCTCATCCCTGTGTCGCTGCTGCTGTTATCATCATCATCATTATCATTGCCATCAATCGTCATCATTGCGAGCGCGAGCGGAGCGATCGCGACCTCGGCCCTCGTCGTGCACGATCCCCGGGCGGAGGAGGCTACAGTGTCCAGCCCTGGGTTTTGTCTCAGGCGGACTCACTGGTTGTGTCACTGAGATGCGATGGCAGTGGATTCAGCATCATCATCAGCAGCGGTAGCAGCAGCACAGCACCAACACAATACTAATTGTGACCTCCAACCACACAACTATCGTGGTGACCGTCACATCGTGGAAGGCAATACCGTGGCCAATCCGATACACAGAGTGAGACTAGGAAACCCGCCTGGAGCTTGTAGCCTCCTCAACCTCTCCAATAACAACAACGTTGAGCGACGATCAGAGACATCACGTGGACACCCACTGTCCCACCGCACCACCACCACCAGCTACCACCACCCAGGTTCCCCACCACCAACACGACAACCCTCGGCTCCCCACACGAACCAAGCGCATGCAATCACGGCACCCAACGGAAATCACCCAACGCACACGCGTGTGCAAACGTAACGTGGCAACACGCAGGCGCGGAACCACACGCGTGTGCGCAAGCACGGCAACTCCCAAGCGTGGGGTGAAGCAGAAACCACCAGGCCCAAGCACCGGAAGCGCCGCGGTCGATACATCGATGATTTTTTGCCACGGGGCGCGCTCGTGTTTGAATGGCCGTCGATTGATTCGCGAGGGGCATTTCCTTGCAGCGAGGTTGCTTCGTCACACTCGCGATGGTTTTGTTTTAAAACGGGGAAGGCGTCGGGGGTCAGAGGACCCACTGACCTCGAGCGGGCAGGCGCACGCGAACACGCCCGCCCGGGCCACTCCCGTCACCACCAACGCTGACGCGTGGGGCTGCTGTTTCCCTCCTGGGCCAAGAAAATGTTCTCCCTCCAGTGCCCGATTAGTGCCGCTAGGATGCGAGGGGGGGGGGGGGGTCGACTCAGTCCATCATCCTTCCTTCCTCTTGGGTCGATAAAATTAGCACCACTTTGTTGGCAAGTCAACAGTGCCATACTGGCAATGTAAACGGAGGATAAGCCGGAAGGATGCGGACTTCGCGTGACTGGCGGAACGGCCGCCACCATCGGCGAGTGTGACGTAGCGACGGCGATGGACGTGCGGATGGGAGGATGGGGGGATGACGATGGTGATGGGGGTTGCATCTGCAGCCCGGGCGTTACCTATGGCCCCACGGAGACTCCGTGGCGGCACTCACACAGCCACAGACAGCCGGGGTCGACGGCTCGGCAAAGGAGTGCAGGACCGCCCGAGGAACACACGCGCACACACACGCATACATGCACACGCGCACATATATGCACACACACGTACACATGTGTATTGCCATCGCGGATGTCACTGTGTAATGCCGGCTCTAGAGAGGCACGGCGTGCGGTGTGGCGACATCGCGGGCACCACGTGGATGTGGGTGCAGTACCGGCCCTAGAAGGGCATGGTGAGCGCTGACCGACAGTGCTGAGTGGCACCACGTGGCTCTGCGTGCAGTGCCGACCCCTACAGGATAGGGTGTGAGAGTGCCGGCCATGGGAATGGGGTTACCAAGGGCCGTGGCACTCTGGTTGACCCTGGAGGACACGTGACCGGTAAAGTCTACACAGGAGCCCCAGGTGGGGGGGGGGGGGGGGGCGGTCACGTGACAGGGACGAGAACCGGCTAGAGGGTTCTAGAAGGTGGTCGTAGCTAAGGGCGGAACCAGCCCCGCCACGGAGGATATAAGCAGGGTCCCCGAGCGGGATCGGCTGCTGTTGTTCATCCTGAAGAATCTACGTCCTACAAGAGTCACCAACACGTGGACCGGGACCCAGGCTGGGGTCCGGTCCGTCGTAGTTAACTCCAGTGTAGTTAGAGTAGTTAGCCTGGTGGTCCACCACCATAGGTTGTTAATGTGTTAAGGGGTAGTACCCCGTGTGTTGGTTATAATAAATGTGTTGCCTCCAACAAGTGCATCTGCGACTCAGTTGAACCCACTCCACATGTACATACACACATTCTCATACACACACACACACGCGCTGATACACACACACATACACACACACGTGCTCGCACATACACACTCACGGACATACATACGTGCTCATACACACGCGCTCACACATACATGCACTCGTACATACATACGCACACACGCACGCTCATGACAAACAAATCGCCCACCGATGGTAGAACAATTTGAATCAAGAGAAAACAAAGGCTATGTGCGGTGCATTCGTGTGCATGAGCGTGTGTGCGTGTGTGTGTGCCGACGTGTGCATGAGCGTGTGCGCGTGTGTGTGTGTGTACTGTGTAACATGTCTAGAATGTAACCTTGTGCCTGCATGGGGAGTAGTGGTGCAGAGGTTAGCCACCAGAGTTCTATTCCCGCTCACAGCCACCAACGCCAATGACGATTATCTGAACTGGTCCTGGGCTTCCTCAAAGGAGTACCTGATGCGATGTGTAAACATCGCCACTGGGAAGACAAAGGCGGCCGGGCGTGGTGTTGGCCACCCTCCCCTTCGTGTGCCGTGCCGGCTTTCATTGGTGCCACTCGCTCACAGCACTTGCCCCAACAGTCTATTAAGGCTACACGAGGGATCTTTGACTTTGTGAGCAGAGGTGGGGGGGGGGCGTCTCTAAGCGGAACGGGGGGCTCCCCCACCCTGCCCCCCGCACCGAGCCCGAGGATGGCTCACCTTGAAGGCATACTTCCTCGTCACGTTGTCCGGGAGCTCCACGGGGGAGATCTCGTAGCTGGGCAGGAGAATGCTGCCCTGGAGCTGCTCCTCTTTGCTGTCTGTGCGTGGGGAGAGCATGGGGAGAGGAGGAGGAAGAGTGGATGGGGGGGGGGGAGGAGACAAAAGGAGGAGGAGGTGCAGGAAAAAAGAAGAGGGGGAGGGATGAGGAGGTGAGAGTTGCATCGTTTCCATGAGCACGTGAATATAGCAGGGCCTGGTCACTCATCGTCAAACTCCCTCCCTCCCAGTGTCGCCACTGAGATACAGAGGTCGTGGCATGGGAAGACGATCTAAAGATACTGGAAGAGTGGAGAACTGCATGTCGTGCACATTATCATCAAACGGGTCAGCGGGCGACAAGGAGGGCGCCAGCGAGCAACAAGGAGGGCAATAGTGAGGGACTAGGAGGGCGATGAGGAGAGCGATAGCGGACGATGAAGAGGGCGTTAGTGGGCCATGGGACAGTGGGGGATTGTGCGGTGGCTGGCACTTGCTACCTTTGTAGTAGAAGAGGCAAAGGTCAGATAGCACGAACCATCGCCTCTTCCACAACTTCATGCCGGCGCTGTCCTGCAAGACAAAGCAAAGATCCCCCGTGTAGCCTTAACAGACTTTTCGGGGCAAGTGCTGTTAGCGAGCAGCAGCACCTGTGAAGGACAGCACGGCACAAGAAGTGAATGGGTGGCCAGCACCACGCCCGGTCGCCTTTGTGTCTCCCCGGTGCTGATGTTCCCACAATGCACCAGGTACTCATTTAAGGCTAAGTCGACCTAACGAAGGGGGGTCCAGTTCCGGTTTGAACATCCATCAGCGATGTTGATCATGAGCGGGATTCAGACTTGGATCACCGGGGTTTGAGAAGCGCGGTGCGCTAACCGCTGCACCACAGTGCCGACGCTCCCAGTGGCCCACACGGCCCACGAGAGACGGGGAGTGCGGGAGGGTGCCACTCACCTGCTTGAAGAGCCACCCATACTTCACCACAGCAGCCTTGGGGTTTCTCGCTATCACGGCGGAGCCCTTCCCAAAGGGCTGGGCCTTCTTGGAGATCTGGGAGAAGAAAGGGGGCGGGAGTGGAGAAAAAGTCTTGTGACTCTCATCTCAATGTGAGGACGAATCGAGTGACGAGGCAATACAGGTGATGGCGGTGGTGATGATGTTGATGATTGTGATGATAATGTGATCGTGGTGGTGATCTTGATGGTGGTGCTGATGGTAGACGGTAGTGGTGATGTCGGTGGTGTGGTGGCGTGTGGTGGTGGTGGTGATGGCGGGGAAGGTGATGGCGGTGGTGGTGGTGATGATGGTGGAAGTGGTGTTGTGCTCTCACCGTGCTGGTGGTGTGGGTGGTGGTGGTGAGCGTTGTGTTCGTGGTGTCGCTGACCAAACTTCCCGGCCGCTCCCCTCCCCTCTCTTCGTATGGCCTACACAAAGACAAAGATCCTCCGTATAGCCTGAACACACTTTTTGGGCAAGTGCCACCAGTGAAAACCTCCAAAGGCCGACACGGCACACAAGGAGGGGGGGGGGGGGTGGTGGCCAGCACCACGCCCGACCACCTTTGTCTCCCCAGTGCTGATGTTTTTGCACATCGCACTAGGTACTCATTTTAGTCAACCTAGGCCCAGGACTGGTTCAGATAATTCGTCACTGATGTTGGCCGTGGACAGGAATCGAACTCAGGTACCGGGTGCGTAGCGCAGTGCGTTAAGCCCTGTGCTGCTGATACACCCACACAAACACGCACGCACATACACACGTGTACCTGAGATCCACTCTCACACAAAGATCAAACACAAAAATCCCCCGTATAGCTTTAACAAAAATGTAGGGGCAAGTGTTGTTAGCGAGCACCTATAAAGACCGGCACGGCACACGAGGGGGTGGGTGGCCAACACCACGCCCGGCCGCCTTTGTCTCCCTAGTGACGATGTTTACACACCGCGCCAGGTACTCATTTCAGGCTGAGTCGACCTCGGGGAGGCCCAGTACCGGTTCAGATAATCGTCACTGGTGTTGGCCGTGAGTAGGAATCAAACTCGGGTCGCCAGGTTCGTAGGTAGTGCAGCGCGCTAACCGCTACACGACCGCTCCTCACTCTCACACACACAGGCGTACCTGAGACCCACTCACACACTCACACACACACACAGGCGTACCTGAGACACACTCGCACACTCACGCACGCACACACACATGCACACAGGCGTCAGTGTTCCAGCGCGCGTTCCCCAGGTATCAGTTTCTGCGGCCCGGCCAGAGCTTTCAGCGCGAGCAACAATGGGCGATTTGTGGGGGTCTCGTTACGCAAAGCATTCCCCCCACTCCGCGTCAGGGAGCGCGAGAGAGAGTGACAGAGAGAGACTCAGAGAGAGTGACACAGAGAGACTCAGAGAGAGACTCAGAGAGACTCAGAGAGACTCAGAGAGAGACAGAGAGAGTGATAGAGAGAGACTCAGAGAGACACAGAGAGAGTGACAGAGAGAGACACAGAGAGAGACACAGAGAGAGACACAGAGAGAGTGACAGAGAGAGAGACAGAGAGAGTGACAGAGAGAGACTCAGAGAGTGACAGGGAGAGACTCAGAGAGACACAGAGAGAGTGACAGAGAGAGACACAGAGAGATACAGAGAGAGACAGAGAGAGAGACACAGAGAGAGTGACAGAGAGACTCAGAGAGACTCAGAGAGACACAGAGAGACACAGAGAGAGACTCAGAGAGAGACACAGAGAGAGTGACAGGCAGAAAGACAGATAATCAGAATCTTGATTTAAACTGCGGGAAGAATTTGATGAGCTATGAAGCTCTTTTTCACAGATGTCCAGTAGGGGCGTGTCAGCAAGTTACAACAACACAGAGAGACAGGCACAGAGAGAGAGAGAGATTATTATAATGAGTATGGTGATGATTATGATGATTCTTGACTTAAAGCTTTCGTGACTGCAGGAATTCATATTCTTGGGTCTTTCGGTGAAGTCACGTAGATAGAACAATAAAATATTGTTCTATCTCATAATATGATTATGATGATGATGGAGATGATGGCGCTGGTGATGGTGCTGCTGATGATGATGGTGAGTGATGGTGGCGACGTACATGGTGTCGTTGAGGAGGAATCCCGCGTTCTCCTCCGCCGCGTGCCCAGTCTCCGGGTGGAAGAACGTGGTCACACGCTCATTGTGGCTGTCGCACACGTAGCAGACACACGCAGCAGAGACACGCAGACACGTGAGTATACACAGAGACACACAGATACAGAGAAACGGAGACACGTGAGTAAACACACAGACGGAGACACACAGGCACAGAGACACCGGAACACGTGAGAATGCACAGAGACCAGTTTCGGCAGCAAGTTAGACATCTCCCGGACACTGCTGGGAGGCCACACAGCGTCCACCACTCCTCCAACTGATGAGGCCTCACGCCGCCAGCAGCACGCCACGAGTGACCGAGCCTCACTCGCCCAACCACTCGCTCGCCCACTCACCCACACACCTACTCACTCGCCCAACCACTCACTCACGCACTCACCCACACACCAACTCACTCGCCCAACCACTCGCTCACCCACACATCTACTCACCTACTCACTCGCCCGACCACTCGCTCGCCCACTCACCCACACACCTACTCACTCGCCCAACCACTCGCTCGCCCACTCACCCACACACCAACTCACTCGCCCAACCACTCGCTCGCCCACTCACCCACACACCTACTCACTCGCCCAACCACTCACTCACGCACTCACCCACACACCAACTCACTCGCCCAACCACTCGCTCACCCACACATCTACTCACCTACTCACTCGCCCGACCACTCGCTCGCCCACTCACCCACACACCTACTCACTCGCCCAACCACTCGCTCGCCCACTCACCCACACACCAACTCACTCGCCCAACCACTCGCTCGCCCACTCACCCACACACCTACTCACTCGCCCAACCACTCACTCACGCACTCACCCACACACCTACTCACTCGCCCAACCACTCACTCACCCACTCACCCACACACCTACTCACTCGCCCAACCACTCACTCACGCACTCACCCACACACCTACTCACTCGCCCAACCACTCACTCACGCACTCACCCACACACCTACTCACTCGCCCAACCACTCACTCACGCACTCACCCACACACCTACTCACTCGCCCAACCACTCACTCACGCACTCACCCACACACCTACTCACTCGCCCAACCACTCACTCACGCACTCACCCACACACCTACTCACTCGCCCAACCACTCACTCACGCACTCACCCACACACCTACTCACTCGCCCAACCACTCACTCACGCACTCACCCACACACCTACTCACTCGCCCAACCACTCACTCACGCACTCACCCACACACCTACTCACTCGCCCAACCACTCACTCACGCACTCACCCACACACCTACTCACTCGCGCTCTCAGTCGCTTCCTCCCTCGCTCCACCGCTCAATAGCTTGGACGGACGAATGCCAACCGCCCTGGCTCTCTCTCTCACTCGCTCGCTCGCTCCCTCCCTGTCATTCACTCGCACACTCCCTTGCCACCCTTACTCACACTCCGACCCGACACTAATGAACTCGCGCGCACGACCACTCACTCACTGTCTCCCTCACGAACTCGCTCGACCGCCTCTCACTCCCATCACCACCCTCCGTCATCCACCACTCAGCCCCGGCGCCGATAAACTCAGGTGCACGATCACTCGCTCGCTCTCTCTTTCTCTCTCTCTCTCCCGCTCTCTCTCACCCCCTCGCTCCCCCATCTCACCCCACCGCCCCTGCCACCCCCATCTCACCCTCTCCCCCCGTCACCATCCTCTATCACCCCCGCTCAGCCCCGGCACCGGTGAGCTGGCCGTCTCGCTCGGTGACAAATCCTCCGCGTGAATAATTGAGACGGCGGGAGGCTCGCCACCCGATCCCGAACGAGCGGCTAAACGGGCGCGACCGCCGCGGCGCGGTGGTGGCACCGTGGTGGTGGCACTGCGGTGGTGGTGGCACCGCGGTGGTGGCACTGCGGTGGTGCCACTACCGTGGTGGTGGTGGTGGTGGCACCACCGCGGTAGTAGCACCGCGGTGGTGGCACTACCCTGCACACTCCACCCTGCACAGTCCACCCTGCACAGTCCACCATGCACCCTGCACCTTACTCATGCTACCGTGCGTGCTGCACGAAGTGTCATTACGTGTGTGGTCGTTTGGGTTGAATTCCCGGGAAGACCCGGCCCGACCGGCCCTGTGCCAACCCCGCGGGGAGACGCACGTCACACACAAAGACAAAGATCCCCCGCGTAGTCTTCAACAGACTGGTGGGACAAGTGCTGTTAGCGAGCAACCAATGAGGTGCTGGGGTGGTGGTAGTGGTTAGCACCACGCTCGGCCGCCTTTGTTTCCCGAGGGTTGATGTTTACACATCGTACTAGATACTCCTTAAAGGCTGAGTTGACCTCGGGGGGGACCAGTACACGTTCAGATATGCACCACTGATGTTATCCATAGCCGGGATTTTGGCTCTGGTAGCTGGGTTCGAACCGAAGCACACTAACCACTGTGCCACCTCTCACCCTACACACGCATATGCTCAGACACATACATACATCAGCTAGCACTGCAGTTCGCAACTAAGTGGTGGTGACATCCCTACGGCGCTTGTGCCTGGCTAGGTGAAACTTTGAGGCCACGTGAAGAGTCGGAAGGCTTGCTGACAGGAGGTCATGGAACAGACTCAAGTGCCAAGCGTTGACTGAGATGGCTGGAAGATGAACCAACTGTGCTCCCCACTGTGCCAACTTTTTACGTTTTAGCCACCCGGCGCTCCGCTCGTTGTTGTGAGAGTCGCTCCTCTGCCCTCCGTTGTTGCTGGAGGGCGACTGCCTCCAACTGCCCAGTAGCGTCCTTCACTAACTTCCTCTAAAAAGGCCGATCTTGACACCACTGGTACCGGTCATCGGCAAGTCTAATCAGCACCTCATCCTCCTGTACCGCATCAGTCTATCTCTTCTCTAGCCCGTGCCGCGTTCGTATAACCCCCCTCTATCCGGCCAAACGGAAACGTCTTAGGCATGCGGTGGCTGGGCATGCGGGCTCCATGGCCCAGCCAACGCAGCTCACTGATAATGGGACTGTGTCCAGATCTCTCAAAGATCCTCACACAATCCCGTCTGGTTAAACCCAGGATGCATCGTAGCCAGGCCAGCCTGGACGTTTAAAACGTGAGCAGATGTTAATTTAAAGGGCTCCAAATTTTGCAAGCATGGAAAGGGAGGGCCACATAACTGTGGCCAAGAAACCCCGCATGATAGTTTGAAGTAACCGGTCAGGTGGCTTCCACGCAGCGTTACGCAGCTTATGAAAAGATGATATCGCTCCACTGATTCCGAGTGCTGCCAAACCAGTGCTGGTCGTAAGCGTACCCGAGACCCAGGTACCGCATAACCACATGCATACAGAGGGAAGACACACACGTATCCGCGCAGAGGTAGAGAGGTGAGAGACACAGGCAGAGGCAGAGGAAAGACGTACACACAAACACGCTGAGACATGAAGACAAAGGTTTTACCATTTTTGGCAATAAAACAGGTAATTAGATGTTCAAACACCAACTAGAAACCTTTTGCAAGGAATAAAAAGGGTATCTATTTGTTATTTGGACATCTTAACACCTTTTTTCATTGCCAAAAAGGGTCAAACCTATTTATACCTTGATTCTGACAAAAAAAATGTGAGAAATACAAAGATCTCCCTGAACAGACTTGTGGGGAAAATTCCTTTGGCGAGCACTAATGAAGGCCGGCACGGCACACTTGGGGGTGTGTGGCCAGCACCACGCTTGGCCCCCTTTGTCTCCCAAGCGGCGATGTTTACACAGCGCCTCAGGTACTTATTTGAGGCTGAGTCGACCTAGGGGAGGCCCAGAACCGGTTCAGACCGTGAGAAGCAGGAATTGAAACTCGGGTCGGCCGGGTTCGTCGCGCAAATGCGCCACCGCTCCCCACAAATACACACAAAGACAAAGGTCCCCCGTAAAGCCTGAATAGGCTGTTGGGGCAAGTGCTGTAAGCAAGCACCTACGGTACACGGGCGGGGGGGGGGCAGCACCACGCCAGGCCGCCTCTGTCTCCCCAGTGGCGATGTTTACACACCGCACCAGGTACTCTTTGAGGATGAGTCGACCTAGGGGAGGCCCAGGACTGTTTCAGATATTCGTCACTGGTGCTGGCCGTGAGCCCGAATCGAACTCGGGTTGTCAGGTTCGTAGCGCAGCGCGCTAACCACTCCCCAACACACAGACACACGCACAGACACACGCACGCACAAACACACGCACGGACCCAGACAGAACCACACTGGTGAGCTCGCAACCCGCCCAACCGGTTTCACGAGGCAACACAAACACAGAGAGAAGCACACACGCGCGCACACACCGGCCACCACTACACTCCCACCGCCATCTACACTCCATCATCACATCCTCACCATCACATACCCATCGTCACATCCGCACCATCGCATCCTCATCGTTACATCCACATCTTTATATCCACATCATCGCATCCTCGTCATGACGTCATCACATCTCCATCATCAGCATCATCCACTTATCCAGATGTTCAACTGAAACACACTCGCACAACATTCACGCAACTCTGTGTGCTGACCGTAAAGCTGCTGAATGGGGATTCTCCACGCGGCAACAGGCAGCGCAGCGCCGCGGGTCACAGTGACACCTCCTGCGACCCCAGCAGGTCTCCCCCCAGTTTACACAATCCGCTCCCCGTGTCGAGACACCAACAACGACGAAGTGGCGGTGACATCACCACGGCGCTTTGTGCCAGGCTAGGTGCACTTTGAGCCCACGTGAAGTGTCACGGGACAGAGCCACGTGTCATGGGTCGGCTGACTGAGCTCCCCACTGCGCAAACTCGCTGCGTTTTAGTCGCTCTGTTCGTTGTTGTGAGGAGCACCGCTCCTCTGCCCTCCCCCACAGTAGGAGGATGGTGTTGAGACACCACACCCTCCATTATTGCCAAACACAACACAAACAGAATCCACTGACCAAATATTTAACGCAGTCGACTCTCAAATAAGCATCAAATAAGCATCGTTTACAGAGAGCGCCAGGGAGTTGGTGGTTAGGAGGAGAGAGCATAGGGATGAGGGTCCA